GTAGGTAAAACCATGAACTCCTCCCAAAGGCTGAATTCATCTAAAGGACATCTCATGAGGAGCTAGGATGCAAAAAGAGTGATTATTATATTTCCCATGCAATTGGACCCACAGTAAAAGATTTCTGGGAGTTTTCAACTAAGTAAACATTCATTAAAACCAGGAAGTTCAGACCCTCCCAATTTGCATAGTGAATTAGAACCACAGTAGCCTGGATATGAATGGAGATGTGGCAATTCAGTAACATGAAATGGAAAATACAGTTTAATTACCCAGTTTTCTTTTTCAAATAAATTCCTCTTACTTTTATGACAATATTGGATAATGAACCTATTTGGGTAATGAGGCCTATAAAACACGTCATGAAAATGCTTTGTTTGCAGTGCTGTTTTTAGAAATGCTAATCTTAGGGAAAAATCTTTCTCACTATTAAAAGCATTTCTAGATCAAGAATCCTATAAATGAAAGGATTGATTCCCATGCACTTAAACAGATCCTTCCTACCTTAATTAAGGAACCAAAAAAGATTCAGGGGTGTTACTCTGGGAAAGGATTTGGGGACAGTAATGAGAATATTTCTCAAGTTGCTTCAAATACACTTTTTAAATTGGCACGATAAAGCATAATTTAACCTAGAAATGGCTGAAAATAGTCTGAAAAGAGATATTCTTTTGAGGTTGTGACAGTATGGGATAATAGACCAATAGTCTCAATGAAAAACGTTGTCTGCGTGTGTGTGAGGGAGAGCTTGATAATATGGGTGAATGTAATAACCGCAATGTTGCTCATGTGAAACCTTTATAAAATTGTTTATCAATGATACCTTAATAAAAAAATCCTAACCAAATACTAGCAAACCTGATCCAGTAATATATAAAAAAGATCAAGCTACATACAAACCAATTAATGAAAGAAAAAATTGAAAAACAAAAAATGATGAAAACATACAAATAAAAAGTAAAAAGATCAAGTTGAAAAAAAAAGAAAAACACTGTGGAATTCTATTTCTGCTATTTAAAAGATAAGTATGTGTGTGTGTGTGTGTGTGTGTGTGTGTGTGTGTGTGATAAAATTCCACCTTAGAAAACCAAAAGGTAAATTTAAAAATTAATAGTGAATGCAAATTAATGGAACAAAAATAGCCTATTTTTTTTACCTGTTAGATTAGCACAAAGTTTAAAAGGCAGCAACATTTATAGCTAATGAAGATGTCATCCTCAGACTTTGTCCATTTGAGTATGAGCTGTTATAAATTGGGGAAAATAATACAGAAATCTGTATTAAAATTTTAAATAAGAACTTTCTTTATGAACAATATTACTTTGTGGAACTCTGTCCAATTGTAACCAAGAAGACATGTATCTAAGATACATGGAGAAAAGTGTTTGTTGCAGTATAATTTGTTACAGTAAAAAAATAACAACTAACCTGAATGCTGTAATTATGGTTAATATACTTAAAATTTTTTTTGACTGGGACAAAAGTTTGAATTAGATATTGATGTTAATATTGGAATGATGTCCTTAAATTAATAATAAAAAGTTGGAGTGATATACAGAATATTGTCTTTTTTCTGTGAAACTAAATAACAATTAAAAAAACCCCACATGTGTGTATTTGTATGTTTGCATAAACATAAAGCTTATAATATTAGTTTCCTCAGGATAGCAGCAGGACTAAGAGGTAATTTTAAAAGGGGCTTTAGATCTCCAAAATATACATTAGTTCTCTTAAAAGCCACTGCACATAAACATAAAAAGAAGCAAAAAGAATGTGCTTGCTATAGGCACACAGCTCCAAGGAAGTCACCTATTCCTTTCCTACTCTTCCACCTACCAAATCATTTGCCTAAGGATTACTACATGGAAATTCTGAAGTCATTACGGCTTCAGAGAAGTGAAACAAAAAAGAGATGTTTTTTCATACCCATCTTTGCTTATTTTTTAAAGTCGTCATGAAGTTTTTTGGAACCTAAAATGAAACTTTAAAAAAAGTTGTGGTGGAACAGTTTAGGAATTTATACCACTGTGTGTGTATGTGTGGCGGGGGGGCTGTTGAGAAAGGAAATTCATTGTAATTACTTCAAGCTGGTTTGTTTAATTCATGTTCTTTTTTTTTTCTGGTCTTTTTCTTAGTTTCAGGACTGTGTCCAGGGTCTAGACATTGTGAGCCATTAGGCATAGGAAGGGTCAGAGTGCTCCTTCAAATCATTCTATAGTCAGTACTTTCTCACCCTCTTTTAAAGTTCATCCTCTAGCCTTTGCTTCCAATTCACATGCCGTACTTTTTCATACAAAAATCCTGCTGCTAATATATGCCAAACAGGACTTTTCTTAGAAATAGTTTTCCAGGAGTGTAAAAAGCTTGTGATAAGCTTGTACAAGCTATTTCACTCCCATTAACATTTCCCCTTATAACCAAAAGTGCCCACCGCAGAATAAAGATTTCTCTGTACTTGTTACTGAAGCAAAATTAGATAACTTAAGCTTCAATTCCCATGCATACAGAAAAATTATAAGGTCTATGCACACATAGTAGCTTGTGCATTCTTCCATTATATCCATGTACTGCAAGTGTGTGCATATGGTTGTATCCGCATAAGTCTGAACTTCAAGAAAGCAGGTACCATGCCTTTTATCTCATTATTTTCCAAATCTAACAGAATGTGTGACATAGTAAGTACTAATAAAGATTTTTGGATGCATAAAAATATAAATAACTCAACACTGACTGAATGCCTATTTAGTTCTAGAATACAGTTATTTACTCCTTGCATAAAATAAGAAAAACAGTATTGCTCTGTATAACAACTTCAGAGACTAAATGTGAGGATCAGATAAGGTAACTGAAGACTAAAGTAAAAGTAATTCGTATACTGCAAAGTATTATGGAAGAAAGAACTCCATTGAGAAGATTATTGAAATAGTCCAGTTTTGAAATGATGGTCTGTGGAAAAGATACACGTAAGAAGTTCCACAAATCTATTATGGAACTCATTGTCTCAGAAACATAAATTTGAGGGTTCTCATATTCAGTCGCACAAGATTAAAAAAATAGAGCTTGGTGAATTCATTTTGCCTCACTGTAAGCCTGTACTGGTTGTATTTAGATTTTCTCTTATTCCTTCATTTTGCTTTTGTACCATTGTAATCAGACACTTAAGATACATTTTCAGTGGAACTCAAGGTCTCAAAAGATTCACACCCAAATACTTTAGAAATATTTATGTAAATGATAAATAAACTAAGTATGTCATTTATTATATTAGAATCCATAATATGCATTCAGTTAGGTAGCTTTTTCAGCTCTGATGATAACTTCAAGCTCCTGAAAAATTCTTTCACAGGGATTGCTTGGCATACAAAGAAAGATACATATGTTAAGGCCATTGAATGGGGCCTTGACTGGGCCACTAGCTCACCTATGAAACTTCAAGAAAGCAGGTACCATGCCTTTTATCTCATTATTTTCCAAATCTAACAGAATGTGTGACATAGTAAGTACTAATAAAGATTTTTGGATGCATAAAAATATAAATAACTCAACACTGACTGAATGCCTATTTAGTTCTAGAATACAGTTATTTACTCCTTGCATAAAATAAGAAAAACAGTATTGCTCTGTATAACAACTTCAGAGACTAAATGTGAGGATCAGATAAGGTAACTGAAGACTAAAGTAAAAGTAATTCGTATACTGCAAAGTATTATGGAAGAAAGAACTCCATTGAGAAGATTATTGAAATAGTCCAGTTTTGAAATGATGGTCTGTGGAAAAGATACACGTAAGAAGTTCCACAAATCTATTATGGAACTCATTGTCTCAGAAACATAAATTTGAGGGTTCTCATATTCAGTCGCACAAGATTAAAAAAATAGAGCTTGGTGAATTCATTTTGCCTCACTGTAAGCCTGTACTGGTTGTATTTAGATTTTCTCTTATTCCTTCATTTTGCTTTTGTACCATTGTAATCAGACACTTAAGATACATTTTCAGTGGAACTCAAGGTCTCAAAAGATTCACACCCAAATACTTTAGAAATATTTATGTAAATGATAAATAAACTAAGTATGTCATTTATTATATTAGAATCCATAATATGCATTCAGTTAGGTAGCTTTTTCAGCTCTGATGATAACTTCAAGCTCCTGAAAAATTCTTTCACAGGGATTGCTTGGCATACAAAGAAAGATACATATGTTAAGGCCATTGAATGGGGCCTTGACTGGGCCACTAGCTCACCTATGCATGAGCTTGGACTAGATGTTTGGCTACTCTTTGCTTTAGTTTACTCACTCTTTTTAAACCCATAGGACATAAACCATAGTTTATCTCTAAGATCACTTCCTTCTATAACATTTTAAGATTTTATCATTTAATTCTATCACTTTACAATCATAATTCTACTTCAAGCTGAAAAAAAACCACACAATCTTGTTTTCTCATGCTGGCAAGCCTTATTCATATAAATCACCTAAGAAACATTTGTACGATGGCCCTCACAAACACAAAATAGAGTGGTTATTGATAACACTAATTAATTGATACAATTAATAAATTCATTGTATACAGTAATCAAATTAATCTAATACTTGTTAAGCTTTCACTTTAACAAATACTAAAATGTCTTGGAGAAATCATACAGACACACAAGATAAACATCATTTATGTCGTTGTACACTTCATCAGCTTTCCTCTCCCACCTGAAAATCAAAACCTATTTACATACGTTTTTTACTGTAATATTCAGGAATAAGATATTTTATAGACTAGGAGAATGTTGGAGGAAATGAGTCTGTTTTAAGCATCCAGTCTCTGAGCGAAGGATCTCCCACCACCTGCTGCTTCCTACACTCCAAAACTCCTGCTCCAACCGGCTTTCCTGGGAGGAGCAGAGAAAACTGGAAGGGAGGGGAAGGTTGGTGCGAGTAAGAGGCGGGAGTGAGGAATGGGAGGCAGAAGTAGGCGTGGCCCGGCCGGGGCCATCAGGATAAATACGGAGAACTGGGTGCGGGGTGTGGAGAGAGAACTCCGGAGGAACGCCTGAGCTGAGCAGCACCGAGGACAGCTCCCGACAGCGTCCGCGCCCTAGGCTGCCTCGCCGCCCAGAGTCTTTCAGCCAGACACACACACACTGAGGCTCTTGTTCACCCCACACACACTCAGAGACACACTCCGCTGTACAATGGCAGAATCCCACCTGCAGTCATCCCTGATCACAGCCTCACAGTTCTTCGAGATCTGGCTTCATTTCGACGCTGATGGTGATTATCTTCTCTCTTTTTTAACTGTTTGAAGACCCTTGTCCACGCCCTCTCCTCCCTTCCCCCCAACCCTGAGCCTCCTGATCCCACTATCCCTCGTTTCTTTTCTTTACTTCTTCCCTCATCTCCCTAATCTTCTCTCTCGCTGACTGCTTAACCATCAGCTTGAAAGTTTATGTTATTGTTTCTATGTTATCCCAAAACCTTAAACTTTTTTAGCTCCAAGAATGGTGAAAGTAGAAAGTGTGTATGGGTGGAGAGAGCGGAGGGGGGGTGGCGGGGGGAGTGTTAAGTGAGAAAGAAAGCATGGATTGGGGGATACTGTACCCCCAAGTTTCTATGGCTATGCTTAGCATCCCTACCATCCCCCTTTGTCCTTAGCGGGTCTAAAGTTATTACCCTGAGGCGAACGCTGCCATCGCCATAATCTTTGCAGGTTAATCAATGTGGGGGCTAGAGCCCCTCTAGTAACCAGAAAGATAGCCATCGTGGAAATGGAACTAAGAAGAAACTCAGAATGAGATGTCTGACACCCGGTGCCTCCTTCTCTTTGCAGGAAGTGGCTACCTGGAAGGAAAGGAACTGCAGAACTTGATTCAGGAGCTCCAGCAGGCGCGGAAGAAGGCTGGATTGGTAGGTTCAGGTTTGAAAAGAAGGAAAAAGACCTTCAGCCTTAAAATATAAATATTCTAGCGTTTTCATAAAGAGTCGGGGGTCAAGTGATTTCTGGGAAATGTAAACACTTATTGACTGAGAAAGAGGAGAAAGAGTGCTTTTCCAAATTGTGTAGGGAAAAAGAGGAGAGAGAAAGAGAGGGAGGGAAAGTTTCCCTAAAGGGAAAAACCTCACAATCTGAAATTGGAGCATTTAAAATATAGATTCTTTACTTGCATTTGCTTTAATAGTGTTTAAAAGCAAAGTGTGGGTGCTTGAGATCTTTTAGCAGATCCCACCTCTAAGAATGAGCTCGATTAGGTCATTCTTAACTTCTCTAACTGTTGAGAAGCGGAGGGGTAGAAATACATTTCTGCCCCTTGGTGGTCAGGAAACAGATCTGCAGATTATGAATCCCCGTCCATTGCCAATTATTAGTGTTATGATGTTGATGGGAATGGAGAGGGGGAAAAATGTTCTGTTTTGACCTTCACTGGGGGAAAGTTGTACAACTTGCAACATAATAATGACACGAATCTAACAAGAAAGTTGCTCATTCTGTTGAGAGAAACCCAAAAGGTAGAGAGATGTTAAAAGGAAAACAATATTAAAAATTTCATGTATTGTCAAAAAACAAAGTTATACTCTCATGGGAAGCAATTAATGTTGTTTTGAAAATAAGCTATATTTGTGATTTAAATCATTGGTTAATTAAACAAATGGCAATTTTACTAATTATGAATGACTTCCTTTGGGCATAAATTAACCTGTTAAGAAAAGATGTCACCAGCATAAAAATAAAATAACCAGATTTAAAACATCTGTGAGATTATTGTAGAGAGGAAGAGGTTAGGAATTGTATCACTTATTGAGGTTTATGTAGGACTGTGTTTTAGAAGAAGGCAGTGTTGGATTTGGGCTAATTAGATGTTAATGATCTTTGGCTTTTTAAACTACTGTTAGAGATTTTACATTACAGATGATATATAGATGACTTTAGAGGAGGAAAATATTGTGTGATCCTTTAGCAGAATTTTTATATATATTTTTTACTAATAGAGTTACTTTTTATTCTATAAATCAAAAGTTGTGTGATACACAACTGTGTACAACATATTCAAAAGAATCCTAGAGGACTTTAAAATGCATTACAGAACTACCAGTGGGTAAAATCATTGATCAAATAGATTTAAAACCTCATAACGCTTTGGGGATTGTTTTACTGAGATTTAATATTATGTAAATCTGAAAGTACAATAGAATGGGATCAAATAGAATATGTCTCCTCACTCTTTCCCCACCCTTCCCCCACCTTGTGTATTACCATGTATCTATGTAGCTTTGATTAATAGAACAAAACAATTATTTTCCTCATTTAAAAATATATTTAAAATATCTGGTTGAAAATTTTACTTGCCATAAAATTTCAAATTAAAACCATGTAAGATGCTTCTAGCTGCTAAATGATTATGTTTTAATTTTCCCAGAAGTCATTTTAATATTGAGATTATTTTCATCTTAGAAATTCAAATATTTAGAAACTCTCTATATTTTTTCTGATTTTTATTTTCTTCTTCCCATTTAATATTTGTACTTTTTTGTAAACAATGGCTTCACGTTAGAGTTTTAAAGATTTTAGAGCTTTTTTTCCCACTGCCTAGGCTCTAATTTTAGAATATTGGAAACTCTAATTATTAGATTATAATCCAATTAATACCAAACTTGAACATAGGTACAGAATTATATCAAGTTGTTTAATACCAAGGCTGCCACATATTTTTCTGGATTATGTATATAGGCTTTGGATAGATAAAATCTAAATCAAGATCTGGACTGAGAGGTTCATGTACTAGACACACATTTCACTATACTACTAGCCTCATTGAAGTAAACCTACTTTTATATATTTCTCCTTTTTTTTAGACATAAAGATTGATCTTATAAACCAAGTTCCTTTGCATTTGTGGTCATAGGATAACAGATTTCACTGTATTAATGGAAAGATTGTTTGATTTGTTATATTAATAATGTGGAATTTCAAAACTTTCACTAATACTAGCTATAAGTGAATATAACATTAATGAAATACAATAACTCAGTATGTTTTCAGAACTGCCCTTTTAAACTGACAATGATATTTAGCCTTTAAATTTGAATTCATTTTTATAATTTACTTTGTTGTAGTTATTATTATCATTATTTTTCACACTGTTTAAAATTCAGGTTTTGACATAATCATCACCCAAAAAGCTCACAAATTAAATGTCAGTTCTGCTAGTTAAATTAGTGGTATTACATGATTTTAAGATTTAAAAACAAATGCTTTATTTTTGTTTACTTTAATGTATGTGCAAAAAAATATAACAACTTATAATCCCACTATAGCCATGGGATAGACTCTTTCATTTTCTTATAACTGTTGCTGTAACAAAACTTACTAAATGCAAATTGCAATTAATTCATAGCAGAAGAGTTTTAAAGACTACACTACAATCAAATTGTTTAATTACTATTTACCTCAGTTCTACTAAAGATATTTAATTTGGTTCAAAAAGGATTTTGTAACAACTAGTAATAGTAATGTGTTCAGCCTCAATATAACCCTTAAATTATATTAACCTATCTATGCCTAGCGCAAACTTGTGTGATAGATAATACCACTGTCTTGGTAGCTATCATAAAAACTGAGACCTTAATTTACTTTTGCAAGGACATAGAATAGGATGTTAATAAAGGCTGACCTATTTACAACAGGCTTCAGTTAATGCAACAAGGCTATTTAATGGGCTAGACTGGAGACCCAAGGGTATAAATTCAACTACCTGAATACTAGTTCTATATTTAGATCACTAGTTTACAGCTCACAGCTCTCTGATCTGTCAATATGTGAAGAGATTATATAAGCAACAGAATAGATTGGAAAAATAGGTCAAATGAGATGAAAGTATTCATTTTGTCACTGTAAAACATGTTTTATTATGCCAAAATATATGGCAGAGAAAACATTATCTCAGAAAAAATGGAAACAAGGACACACTAGAAAACTGCTCCCTAAATTACTCTTGGATGCAAGGATGTTAAACACATATAACCTAAACTAGGTCATCAATGTTGTCTGTCCCTAAGTACAAACTGGGTCAAGTAATTTTTTTATCTGACACATACTTTTCTGATATTTAATCTTTTAACTTAATGAATGCTACTCCCATGCTGGAAACATTCTTTGCTGACAAAGTGAGTCACTCTTCAACATTCAAATTTTTTGCTTGTCCAAACCAAATACATATTCTCACTTTTAATAGAAGAACATATAGAATAAGGAAAACTTTATAGGACAATTAGTGTGGCAACATAAAGGAATCTCTCATGAAGCAAGCAATGTTTAAAGTACATAACAGTCATCATTATATTTGAAATGACTAAAAGTTATGAACTGAAGAATCCTGACTACATTTTCAAATGGTGACATATTCTCAAAACTAATAATAGAAGATAAATCATAAGGATTGAGGCAAAAATGATACACATAACTACAACTATTTCATTTCAAACCAGTAAATACAGTGATTCAGGTATGTCTTTAATTTTCATAACAGTTCATCAGTATGCATAACCCTAAATGGTTCCAATTCTGGCTTTTCTTTGCAATAAGTCATTAACACCATCACAAACATAATTGGGTTTGTTTTTTATGTTGTTTTTTCCAAACTTCTTACCTGCTTTTATGTAATTTTAGGAGTTATCACCTGAGATGAAAACTTTTGTGGATCACTATGGGCAGAGAGACGATGGGAAAATAGGAATCGTAGAGGTAATGAGAATTTCTGCATTTTTCTGATACAGCTTTAATAAATAAGCTTCATTTTGTAGTTGTATCTAACTCAAATATGATTTGGCAAAACCAATTTAGAGCTGCTTATTTTACCTAAGTAACATGTTATCTTCTGTTCAAAAACATAAAAGAAAAAACTTCAGAAATAAAAGAGACCTAAGTATCTGCCTAACTCAGAACCTAAATTTAATACATTATGAAACTGAGACCTGGAGAAGTGAAATGATTTGCCTTTGGTCTTGCAGCTGTTTGCTGGCACAGAGGCAGGTAGAGACCCAGTCTCCAACTTGCGGGTGAATACTCATGCCATTACATTACCCAGCCTCACTTGGATAAAATCTCAACCAAGTACATTGTTTGTTGGTATTTCTTATCATTTAACAGTGTAGACTTTTCTGTTAAGATATAAAATGAAATATTTGCAATCTCTATGATGATGTCACAACAAAAACTGCATCCTGGTTCCTAAAACTCTATTTTAGATTGGTGGTTGGCCTTAGTAAAAAACACAGCAACTTAATTAAAGTGGGTGAATATTTTACAATGTGTTATAGGGGAGGAATTATTTTGAGTCTCTGAAAGTTAGAACTGTGGGTGTCAAATGTTATCTTTTGATAAGATAAACTTTTTTATTATTTTCCTATTGAAAACAACCTTTTTTTATTACTTTCCTATTGAGGACAACTTTTTCTTTTTTTTTGTTCATGAGTTAAGGAAGCAAAAATCTGATTATGCATCAATTCTTTGACATTCTTCAGTTTGTGAAAGAACTGTTGCTTCCCTTGCTTCTACCTTTCCTAACTCTTGTGTCTCAGGTTTCTTTATCTCTGCAACCTACTAGAAAAATTGAATGAACAGCTTTGTCCAGAAAAATTAATAAGGTCATATTTTAAAATATGCCAAATCACAAGCATAATTATATGTCATGCTCGGAGTGTATTAGATTGTGATGTATTCTGGCTGTCAACAGCATTTAGTCATAATTTACCTTTGACTCAGAGAACTAACCTGGTTTTAAAATAATTAATATTTAGGACACCTATGATGTCAATGTGAAATACACTTATTTTTAAGCAGCTACTACAAATAGAGTTAAGGAAGGAACATACCATTACTATCTTTGTAATTAAAACATTTCCCTGGAGAATACACTCTCCCCTTTGCCTATGTGTGATGTTTACTATATAAATAGATAAATTAACAGTAATAGGACTTACAGATTGACATAGAAGCTAACTAATCATGATATGAAATCATCAAGGATGAAAAAATAACTTTTAAATGAACATAAATGAGATGAGATACATCTAGTCAACACTAGTTGGAAAATCTGAAATTATAAATGTGGCTATTTCAGAGTTTGGCTAGCTTTGTAATTCTAGTAAAGGGAAGCTTGTAATGTGTATTTAATATGTTTCACCTTGAAGGATTCCAGTGCTCTCAGTTATTTATTTCACTAAATTTCTTCAGCAATACTGTGTTGAATAGCAGTATAAAAAGCATAGATACATTCCACATGGATTTTACATTTGTAAAAGGACAAGATGGATGAATCTGTTTTGTATCTCGGCTTTACTATGTATGATATAGTCTAATCATTTATGAATTATAATTTTAAGTCATATTTGAATGAGAAGCTAGGGGTCACTAGCAGATGCATTGTCCTGGAGGTTTGGTAATAGAAATTTCTCCAGCAGTTTGAGATAAGAAACTATTATAAGAAAGAAAAGTTTTCTCTGTGAGGAAAGATACGTAACAGAGGAGGATGAAGAAGTTAATGAGGGCTGAAATGAGGAATTAAGGAACTTTTAAAGCAATAACAATAAAAACAATTTACACTAGTACAACATTACACAATTTGGGAAGTGTTTTCAAATATGTTCTCTCATTTGATCCTCAGAACAACAAAATAAAATAAGCCTAAATATAAAATGAAGATCTATTTTTATAGTTGGGGATCCTGAGGCTTCAACAGAACTTTCTTAAAGTCAAAGAAAAAATAAGAAATGAATAGTAGAATAGCCAAAACCCAGCCATTTCCGTCTTAACAGTAATAGGACTTACAGAACTGCTCTTTTTTAATAATAAATAATCTGTACATGTTCTGCATTAAAAGAAAATATTTTCAAGTCTCAGTTGGTTTATTACTTATGGCAAGTAATAAAATAGGCACCTTACTGTATGGTTAGCCTGGTTGAACAGGATGTACAAAGTATAGAGATCTGACCAAAGCACTTGAAATATGATTTGGGCATAACTTTCAGATCAGCTGAAGCAAAAAGAGTTTAAAGAGAGAGAAGTAAGACTCAGAAGAATTTATTAGAAAGCTTAAGTATTGCAGGACATGGAATTTTTTGCTAGATGGGACCTTTGGGAAAAAATAGCCAAATTTCCTTATTTTAAAGATGAAGAAACTGAAGCCCTGAAAGACTGAATGATGTGTCCAAGATCCTGCTAGCAAGGAATGACAAAATCTACCTACAGGCCTAGATCTGACTCTGTTCTCAGAATTCTTGTCATTATGTGGAGTTATCAATCAAGGCCCAAGAGGAAGGGGTGGAATGGTAATTAGTTGTAGAAAAGGGATTTAGAGACTGGGAGGAGAGGGAAGAGAAACTGCTGCAGCAGTCAAATCAAATGCCTGTTGATTCTCTCTTGGGCAGTTGCCTACAAGTGAAGAGAGAAAGATGAGGTTCTGAAAATCATTGGAAAAAAGCAATTGAAAGTTACAGATGACAAGTAGAAAATGGGGAATGGGGAGTGGGAAATACTTGAATTTATAATGTGCCCTCTAGTGTCATCAGGAAGTTGCATTAAATGAAGTTCAACCTTTCTTATCCAACTTGACATCGTATCACTTGCTAAGAAATCCTACACAATATGGGGAAAAAATACACAAATCCAAGCCAGCTATGAAGGAATGGAAAATCCCATGTTTTCCAAAATTTATAATAATCTACCTATTCACTTCAAGTATACAACTGTAGTATTCAGAGAGAAAAGAAGTTGGCTTTGCTGTGTTTTGCCCTTAATAGGTATACTCATGGGCTCATAAAAATCTAATCAAAGTACAAGTACCAAATGATTTCACTCATATGTGGAGTATAAGAACAAAGAAAAAACTGAAGGAACAAAACAGCAGCAGAATCACAGAACTCAAGAATGGACTAACAGTTACCAAAGGGAAAGGAACTGGGGAGGATGGGTGGGAAGGGAGGGATAAGGGGGTGGGGAGGAAAGGGGCCATTAAGATTAGTATGTGTAATGTTGGGGAGGGCACGGGGAGGGCTGTGCAACACAGAGAAGACAAGTAGTGACTCTACAGCATCTTACTCTGCTGATGGACAGTGACTGTAATGGGGTTTGTGGGGGGAATTTGGTGAAGGGGGAAGCCTAGCAAACATAATGTTCCTCATATAATTGTAGATTAATGATGTCAAAAAAAATCTAGTCAAAGTAAATCAAATGATATTCATGTGATAATCTGTTTTCTCCATGGAAATGAGCCAACATGATCTGGTTCTAATTGAAATATGCTGTTCAAAAGATCAGAAAGTATAATGGTTAATTCTCAAAGTTCTGTCCTGATAAAGTTGACTGACATTTTCCAACATGCTTTTGCTACTTAGAAACATGTAAAGAAGAAAGGCTTTCTTCTGAACTTCTTAATTTCATGTCTTTAAATTATTTTAAAATTCACACAAATACAATTCAGTAACAAAGAGATTATTAATATGAAACAGGAGCATTGAAATTCTGAGATAATTCAACAAATAACATGACAGTCAAGAAATGTTCTAAATTTATTCAGACTAAATTCTATTGCAGAGAAGGCCAATTAAAATAATTAAAGAGGAAGACTGAGTGATTTAGCAGATATTAGATATTTCTTCTCCAGTGCTCACAGTAAGTATAGATATTTCCCTTAGCTGGATGTCAAATCTAAGCTTTTCACCTGGTCCTTTGGTCAATGTGTAGGAACCTACCATCCTCTCCAGTTTTGTGTCTACTTGTCCAGGTCAGTGCATCCGCTGAAAAAATAGATCTAAAAGCTATTTTAATCCTAAAAGTATAACTAGCCTCCCCAGGAAGCAGGCGCTTCTCTAGACTTTCCCTCTTTTCTCCCATGGCAGGATTTAAGCATGTGAGTTTAGCTACAGTGAATGTAATTTTTCATGGAAGACTACTTTTCCACCTTAGAATTTGGGGAAATGACATGAAATCTGATATAAAAAAAAAACATCCCTCCAGATAGATATTTTTAAAAGGATTTATTTGCAACACTTTTTCAAGTGAAGATTTTAATGGAATGTTATAAACAGAAAAGGGCCTCAAAATAAAAAAGACCAGACTGATTCAAATCTGGATCAAACTATAAGCTGTCTGATAGCAGCCCACTTATCCTCTCTAAGCCTATTTTCTTGGCTGTGAACAAGGATGGTAGGTGAATATTGATGTCACATGTAATAATACATGTCAAATGAATATATTAACCCTGGCACACTATAAAAACTCAAAAATGTAAATGCTATTATTATTAAAAATAAAAATAACTCATTGAAAATCTAAACCACTCCTCTAAATGCCAAGCCTTTTTCCCACTTCCTATATAACATGTCAAATTCAAATTATTAATCTCATCTAGCCTTAAATTTATATAAGATTATTTGCCTCCTAAATTTCCTGGACTCACTTCTCATTGACTAGGAAAAACATTTCTCTGGTTCTCAAATGAAATATGTGAATGCTTTGTTAATCTGTACTGAAGAAGATTAACAGAAACCATGATTTTCTTTAAAAGTTAAGCATTATGCCTCATGTGTGCTTTGATGTATCTTAGCTAAGTCATTTACACACATTATGTGTACCCTCATACCTCATAACTTATCACTGTATCTAGCTCCTGCTTTGAAGAAGTTTCTTTATAGTGGTAACTATGAATTCCCAGCATCCAGCACAGTGCCTAGTAGTGGCTTTGAACCACAGTCACATGAGCCACTGCAAGGAACTTCAACCTGCCCTAAAACATAAGGCAAGGGTTTCAGCCTGGGAGTAGTGACAGGGGTTGAGTTCCCTGGGAGGCAGATCTGAGTTGAGGATTAGTAATGAAGAAGTTTATTAGAAGTGCTCTTGGAATCAATAACCAATACTCATCGAAAGGAAGTGAAAAGAACAGGACAGGACAGAGGGAGTCAGTAGGTTTTGACACAGTCTCAATAGAGGCTTCAACTGGGATGATGCTGCAGAGATGTCCCAAGATTTGCACAAGAGGGCTGGACCTCTGTATCTCCATATGGGTCTATCATAGGACAAAGCCTCCTTGGGGATGCAGCTTTCTACAACCCAGGTAACTCCCAAAGGGTACTGACAGCTGAGGCCACAGTAATACTCCCAGAACCTGAAGGGAGCTCAAGGTGGGACATCATAATACCCACTCTAACTCCTATCCACAGCTCAGTAATAAGCTATTTGCATCACCTCCAAAGGAAATATATTCCTTCTTATCTATAGTCTGTGTTGACCCTAGACAAGTAATTTCTTGCCTTCATTCATTGGCTCCGTAAAATGTTTACTGAAATTTTTGCAGGTTTTTGGCAAATAGACAGTAAATAAGACACAGACCGTATCATCAGGATGTATGTAGATTGGCAGAAGAAACAAGCCAACAGAAAGAAATGTGTGCTTCCCCTAATCTCAGTGGCAGACAACCAGTTCTCATAAATTAAGTTCTCAGGTATTCTCCTTGTGGCCACATCTAATTCCCTTGGTGTTCTTCACCCTCTTCTCCAACTCACAGCAAAGTTTTGAGAGTTCATAAAAAAGCAGGCAGGCAGCCCAAGGACCAAGAAACCACCAATGACCTAGGAACAGCCAGTATTGGATACTACTCTGCACAGCCGTGACTTAGCTAATCTGAGAATAAAGCAGCTCTACTTAACACCTTCTATAAAAGACTTCTGGTAGTTTGTAGACATGGCCTTAGACACTATAGCTAGAGAGTTCTTGCTTCCAGCTCTGAAATTTGAATGTTGATTCACACACAATACATTGACGGAAGGATCAACAGATGACACAGGACCACAACGTTGTGAAATGAAACACACTTTAAAAAGGATGATTTCTTTATGTTCATATAGCCACATCCTATCCACACATGGTATTCTTATTTTTAAGTGGCTGGTTTGTCTTACTATAATCTTTTACATGTTTAACTCATTTCTAATGTCTGTAAAATAGGATGATGCTGTATTCAGTTTAATATTAACATTTCAATGAAATTAAAAGATTGAATATGTTGCACATAGGTATAATCTGTGTTTTTAAAATAATTAGACCAAGTAGGACCAAAGTGGCATGGCAAAGAAGTGTACATGTACATTTGACATGAAGAGCAATTTTACTATCTCTATATTTGACACTCTGAAGACATCTGAACATTATGTGAGTTATATGAACTATAATTTTTGAAACAAAGATGGCTAAAATTTCCCTAATTTTACATTTGGTCATTGCTAACTAGCTTGTTCTTTCATTTTTTCTATTTTCATGTTATTTGGTGGATTTTGATAAGTATAATTTCTTTAAGAAAACTGATTCCTCTTTTGTTCAAAACAACACACAATTATTTCAAGCAATATAGAAAGTAGCAATGAAGATAGGATAAAAAATATTATAAATCCTCTTAAGGTGGTCATGTTAATGAATAAAAGTAATCAGCCAATCTGCATTTATGTCAGGCACATAACATGCTGAGCACCACACTGGGCATTCAGGGTATGCAGGCAAAGAATAGTTTCTGCACTCCTGAAATAGATGATCCATGGACAGAGTCACTCAAAACTTACAAAGTGGTATCTGGCAGGTTATACACTAAATGAAGAAAGGAAAAGTTGGAATTGGCTGTTTCCTGTTTCCTAAATGAATGCCTATGTTAATGCGAACCACACTAGTGACCTTTGTGTCAAAATAAACATGAAAATATTTTCTGGCTGAGTCATACTAAAAATCCTAATAAGATGCTTGGCCCTGTCCCTTGGCCCACACCCACGTGTAGTGCCTATAAATTGAATGGTTTTAATTTGTGGTACTTTTTAAGACAAAATTTTTTAATGTTTTAACAATTTTTAAGATTATTTCAAAGATCTGAAAACAAGATAAAGGAATATTATACAGGCATAAAGAACCAGAGATTACTGGCATATAAGGTAGAATGATACATTTATATTAAATTTTAAATTTTTAAATGGACCTAAAAGGATAAAAAAAATTTTTTAAAAGAGTCTTTCCTATAATTTGGTAGAACTTATGGAACTTATACTGACTTTAAAGTTGATCTAGACCACAGGTTCTTGGGCTAAAATCCAGAGATGAGGGTCTATGCCTGTACAGCAAGGGATTCATCAACTTGGAAATTACATGAAATATGTGTTGGTTCATTCTTCAATGGTAATAATATAGTGATTTTACAGATTCTCAAGGTCATCTTGAACCCAATACGTTTAAGAGACATTGGTTTCTGTTTCAGTTCCTTATTTTAGCGATGAGGGTACTAAGTTCCAGAAATGGCTGAGGGAGTTGCTGGGAACCACAGCTAATTAGCAGCTGATCCAGGAATAGAACCCAAGCCTGCAGTGGGGCCATCAATCCAGCTCCCTCCCTCCCTGCACGCAATAGATAGACTACATTCATCTTAAAATGGGATCTGGAGCCCTTTTTTACTCCAATAAAAAAAGGTATTTAAGTTCTGAAATGAGATCTAAGGAGAAAAGTCATAGGGTCATGAATGGAGATCATAAAATAAGCCCAAGCCCCGGATTCAAACAGCAGATGTCCTTTTGGCAGAAACCTATCATTTGAGAACTGATTTTCCCTATTACTGTTCAATTTTTACTGTTCATTGTGAATTGTCTTTTCTACTCTCCTTCCCCTGCCTTACAGTCAATGTCTTCAGTTTACCTCCCCTTGCATGTCTTAGTTCACTTTCTCTCACACTCTGGGACACAATTTTTTTCCTTCCTTCCTTTCACCTACATTCATATTTCTCAGTTTCTTTCCTTCTATGTGTGTCCCCACGTGTACTGTTCTCTGCACGCTGAGAGGAGGAAGACTGCTGGACAGAACGTCTGAAGAGTTCCAGCCAAGGGGATGAATCTGTTTATACGTACAGCAGATGGAAGTGGTCAAACCAGTCCTGTCTGAGCTTCCTGTGTTCGCCTGCTGCAGCCATCTCTCTGACAGAAATCAGTGCCTCAAGGGCACCCAAGCTTTGGGAAACACAATGTCTTTGTGCAGGAGCAAGTGTCAGAAAAGCAAAGTTCATTCTAATGGCTTTCTTCTCCTAGTTTTCTAGGCAGTAAAACTCCTTGTAATAAATATGCTCCAGAACAAAAGCAAAACCTATGCAGGAGGTAATGCCAGAGACATGCTTTCTAGCTCCTTACGACTTTTTAAATCTTTTCCAGTTGGCTCATGTACTACCCACAGAAGAGAACTTCCTGCTGCTCTTCCGATGCCAGCAACTAAAGTCCTGTGAGGAATTCATGAAGGTATGAGAAAGTTCTGTCACTAGGTGACATCTATAGAAAGCTACTTAAAGTAGGAAAACTGTTGGCTTTTTTTTAATGTGTTTGTTTTCCTTATTTAAAATTACTTACAGACATGGAGAAAATATGATACTGATCACAGTGGCTTTATAGAAACTGAGGAGCTTAAGGTAAGCAAATAAAAACTTGGGCTAAGTTTTTTATTTTCAAATACAATCAGGAACTTTTTAGCTTTTTAAAAAACCTCCCACAATAGAAACTAATGTTGAGCAGTGGCACATTTTCACCCACTCTTCCACATCATCAACGAAGAACCAGATCAAAAAAGGGACTTCAAGTACTCCTTGAAATTCTGTTCAGCGATGCAAGAAATTACCATTTTCTGTGGTATGTGCAAATTGTTGTATAAGATGGATAGATAGATATAATGATATACTAAGCCAGAAAAGCCACTCCTTTTCATGGAAATTTGACATTTTATTTTATAAATTAAACAACTATATCATAGATTTTTCTTTCAAGAGAAGATAAAGGAACAATTGTTATACACCTACTATATGCCAGGTACTTTACTCACACAATATCTTCTTTCACCTTCATGTGAGTTGTGTGAGATTAGTATTACCCCAGTGAGGAAAAAGATTAAGAGAAGCTAAGTGATAAATTAAAAGCCACACAGAAAGAAGACATGAGGCTGCAATGTTTAAATTCAAACTCATCGGCCTCCAAGGCCCCTTAGACATTCCATACAGCCTCCTGCCCCTCTCAACAACAGTAAACACAACAAAGTCCTAATGTATAATCAAACTCCTGAAAGAGTGCAACTTTGAAAATGGATTTATCAATTCGTATCTCACAGATGTCCAGAGGAGCTGGTAGAGATGAGGAGGACAAAAAGGGAAAAGATCTGAAATCAAATTTCACCGCTTGACAAATATTCTCTCTGATTTTTTTCAATCCTTTAAATGGGGCTGATAGTACAGTCCTCTCAGATTTATTGTGAAGCTCAACTAGGATGTTGTGCATGAAGAATTTTGTGAAATACAAGGCATAATAAATTATATTAATCTCGAACTTAGTAATTTACTAGCCTTTCAGAAAAATGGAAGCATTGCTTTCTCACTTCCTTAAATTGACCCCAAGATTTCTCAGTCCAGAAGATCCTATTTTCTCCTTCAGCATATGAAGTGACTAAAAGGGAAGCAAAAATTGTTGTTTGCTGAGCACCTACTATGTGGCAGGCATAGTATTAGGTGTTTTAGGTGTTTGAAATGTATTTTAACACACCAATCTGCATTTATGTCAGGCACATAACATGCTGAGCACCACACTGGGCATTCAGGGTATGCAGGCAAAGAATAGTTTCTGCACTCCTGAAATAGATGATCCATGGACAGAGTCACTCAAAACTTACAAAGTGGTATCTGGCAGGTTATACACTAAATGAAGAAAGGAAAAGTTGGAATTGGCTGTTTCCTGTTTCCTAAATGAATGCCTATGTTAATGCGAACCACACTAGTGACCTTTGTGTCAAAATAAACATGAAAATATTTTCTGGCTGAGTCATACTAAAAATCCTAATAAGATGCTTGGCCCTGTCCCTTGGCCCACACCCACGTGTAGTGCCTATAAATTGAATGGTTTTAATTTGTGGTACTTTTTAAGACAAAATTTTTTAATGTTTTAACAATTTTTAAGATTATTTCAAAGATCTGAAAACAAGATAAAGGAATATTATACAGGCATAAAGAACCAGAGATTACTGGCATATAAGGTAGAATGATACATTTATATTAAATTTTAAATTTTTAAATGGACCTAAAAGGATAAAAAAAATTTTTTAAAAGAGTCTTTCCTATAATTTGGTAGAACTTATGGAACTTATACTGACTTTAAAGTTGATCTAGACCACAGGTTCTTGGGCTAAAATCCAGAGATGAGGGTCTATGCCTGTACAGCAAGGGATTCATCAACTTGGAAATTACATGAAATATGTGTTGGTTCATTCTTCAATGGTAATAATATAGTGATTTTACAGATTCTCAAGGTCATCTTGAACCCAATACGTTTAAGAGACATTGGTTTCTGTTTCAGTTCCTTATTTTAGCGATGAGGGTACTAAGTTCCAGAAATGGCTGAGGGAGTTGCTGGGAACCACAGCTAATTAGCAGCTGATCCAGGAATAGAACCCAAGCCTGCAGTGGGGCCATCAATCCAGCTCCCTCCCTCCCTGCACGCAATAGATAGACTACATTCATCTTAAAATGGGATCTGGAGCCCTTTTTTACTCCAATAAAAAAAGGTATTTAAGTTCTGAAATGAGATCTAAGGAGAAAAGTCATAGGGTCATGAATGGAGATCATAAAATAAGCCCAAGCCCCGGATTCAAACAGCAGATGTCCTTTTGGCAGAAACCTATCATTTGAGAACTGATTTTCCCTATTACTGTTCAATTTTTACTGTTCATTGTGAATTGTCTTTTCTACTCTCCTTCCCCTGCCTTACAGTCAATGTCTTCAGTTTACCTCCCCTTGCATGTCTTAGTTCACTTTCTCTCACACTCTGGGACACAATTTTTTTCCTTCCTTCCTTTCACCTACATTCATATTTCTCAGTTTCTTTCCTTCTATGTGTGTCCCCACGTGTACTGTTCTCTGCACGCTGAGAGGAGGAAGACTGCTGGACAGAACGTCTGAAGAGTTCCAGCCAAGGGGATGAATCTGTTTATACGTACAGCAGATGGAAGTGGTCAAACCAGTCCTGTCTGAGCTTCCTGTGTTCGCCTGCTGCAGCCATCTCTCTGACAGAAATCAGTGCCTCAAGGGCACCCAAGCTTTGGGAAACACAATGTCTTTGTGCAGGAGCAAGTGTCAGAAAAGCAAAGTTCATTCTAATGGCTTTCTTCTCCTAGTTTTCTAGGCAGTAAAACTCCTTGTAATAAATATGCTCCAGAACAAAAGCAAAACCTATGCAGGAGGTAATGCCAGAGACATGCTTTCTAGCTCCTTACGACTTTTTAAATCTTTTCCAGTTGGCTCATGTACTACCCACAGAAGAGAACTTCCTGCTGCTCTTCCGATGCCAGCAACTAAAGTCCTGTGAGGAATTCATGAAGGTATGAGAAAGTTCTGTCACTAGGTGACATCTATAGAAAGCTACTTAAAGTAGGAAAACTGTTGGCTTTTTTTTAATGTGTTTGTTTTACTTATTTAAAATTACTTACAGACATGGAGAAAATATGATACTGATCACAGTGGCTTTATAGAAACTGAGGAGCTTAAGGTAAGCAAATAAAAACTTGGGCTAAGTTTTTTATTTTCAAATACAATCAGGAACTTTTTAGCTTTTTAAAAAACCTCCCACAATAGAAACTAATGTTGAGCAGTGGCACATTTTCACCCACTCTTCCACATCATCAACGAAGAACCAGATCAAAAAAGGGACTTCAAGTACTCCTTGAAATTCTGTTCAGCGATGCAAGAAATTACCATTTTCTGTGGTATGTGCAAATTGTTGTATAAGATGGATAGATAGATATAATGATATACTAAGCCAGAAAAGCCACTCCTTTTCATGGAAATTTGACATTTTATTTTATAAATTAAACAACTATATCATAGATTTTTCTTTCAAGAGAAGATAAAGGAACAATTGTTATACACCTACTATATGCCAGGTACTTTACTCACACAATATCTTCTTTCACCTTCATGTGAGTTGTGTGAGATTAGTATTACCCCAGTGAGGAAAAAGATTAAGAGAAGCTAAGTGATAAATTAAAAGCCACACAGAAAGAAGACATGAGGCTGCAATGTTTAAATTCAAACTCATCGGCCTCCAAGGCCCCTTAGACATTCCATACAGCCTCCTGCCCCTCTCAACAACAGTAAACACAACAAAGTCCTAATGTATAATCAAACTCCTGAAAGAGTGCAACTTTGAAAATGGATTTATCAATTCGTATCTCACAGATGTCCAGAGGAGCTGGTAGAGATGAGGAGGACAAAAAGGGAAAAGATCTGAAATCAAATTTCACCGCTTGACAAATATTCTCTCTGATTTTTTTCAATCCTTTAAATGGGGCTGATAGTACCGTCCTCTCAGATTTATTGTGAAGCTCAACTAGGATGTTGTGCATGAAGAATTTTGTGAAATACAAGGCATAATAAATTATATTAATCTCGAACTTAGTAATTTACTAGCCTTTCAGAAAAATGGAAGCATTGCTTTCTCACTTCCTTAAATTGACCCCAAGATTTCTCAGTCCAGAAGATCCTATTTTCTCCTTCAGCATATGAAGTGACTAAAAGGGAAGCAAAAATTGTTGTTTGCTGAGCACCTACTATGTGGCAGGCATAGTATTAGGTGTTTTAGGTGTTTGAAATGTATTTTAACACTTAATCCTCACAAAAAACTTGCAAGGGGGTATTATCATTCCCATTATACAGAGAAACTGAAGTTCAGAGAGATTAATTTTTCAAAGTTACACAGCTGCATAGGAAAACAACCAAGATCAAGACCTAGAATATCTGATAATGCTAATAATGTTGGGCTTTTTTCCCCACAACATCACATGCTTTCAACTTCAGTCATCAAGAGCTGCCTCTTCTGCTGCCATGTGGGGGAAATAAAAATGTCAAACACGATTTCCTAGTCATGGTTTAACATGCCACACATAAAATTTTAGGGATGGAACTGGGACATTTGCACTACTGCAAAGTTGTTAAGACATAGTCAGCTAAAGTCTCTTGGAAATATAAACATTTTAAATGTGAAATCACTGAAAACAATATATTTTACAAACTTGCAGTTCAGCAAACTAGATCCCATGAGGTGAAAGTCAGCGATTGTGTTTTTATTCTACTGGACCAAAAATATTCTTTAAAAAATCATTTCAACTTCATAATGAAAACTTCAGCTCATTTCCAATACTGACATTTTTGTTCTAAATTTTATTCTCAGAAAGAGATTCTAAATAGAAGTCCTCCTCTCTGGGGAATTTTGAAGATAAGTTGGCATTCTTTTTTAATGGATCTTTCAAGGAAGCTAATTTTAAGATCCATAATAGAGTAAAACATCACTTGTTCTTAGACATGACTTTGAATCTCAGTGTCCCAAGGTTTCTCTCAGGCTATTTTTGTGACCACCATGTGAGTCTCTGATGAGGTTTTTTAACCCAATTAATCTCTGACAAAAGTCTCATAAGGCTCAAAAATAAATTCATCCCTAAATAACTCTGAAATTTCCATGTTTCACTTTGAATTTGAAGTCAAATGTTTGAAGTGAAAGAAAATGTATCAAACCAAGAAAAAGGTCTCCTTCCTCAAAAAGAATGAAGTTAAATCATCCCAGCAGAACTGGTATATTTTGGAGGAAGATAAACCACAGCAGAACCAAAGAAACGCCAGCCCTCAGTAATGTCCAAGCACAGCATCTGCTGAGTTTTCCATAATTGTGTTAATTCATTTTCTGAGAAAATAAAGGAGTTGCAAATGAACAGCACTAGACAAAATGAAAGATGATAATATGCTTTAGTACTTACACTGTCATTTATACAGCAAGCTTTTGTAAAGCTTTTATTTGATTTATTTCTCTGTTAAAAAATTATACTCCTAAACTCCAACTGTCAAATTAATAATCATCTTTTTTCATCCTTCCCACATTAATTTCTATTTTAATATGATTGATATATCCTTCAAAGATTAGATAACATCATCTGTGGCCGACTGTTTGAGTTGGAACAGTCAGCTGAAGCATTCTAACCAAGGTGCTTAGGACCGCATCAAACCTAAAAGCCAACCAACCACCCCATTTGTGAACCAAGCTTCATACCAGCTATAAACCTCTGTGGAAATATAGCTTTTGAGTGCAAGAAATACACCTTAAATTAGAAGTTGTTCTCCATCTGGCTTGCTGATAATTTTTCACTCATGAAGGTATAAAAGGGACTGCTATGTTTCTTGCAAGGGAGGCATATGAGTATCTGTGAAGTTTTTATGTACAAAGGCATCCACTGGGCTGGCTGGTTTTAAAAGCTTTTACTCTTGATTCCTACACAGTGCACAATCCAGATGCTCCTTTAATTGAAATCATAAAATCACAGTGTAGCACAGACTATGACAGATCAGGTCTCAATAAAAGGCAGATGTTGTACCTGTCAAAGGCAGCATCTTAGCTAGAATGCCGAGAGGACCACATGGCTCAGCACCCATTAAAAGTCCTCTCTCCTCACCCAGTTCTAGCCTCAAAAGGAGACCGCATTCCTTAAGTGTTTCATTTCAAGGCAGGCTGATGGGAGCCCACTGTACGTTGCTGATGAAATTCATACGAGTGCTCTTTGTCTTAACAGAACTTTCTAAAGGACCTGCTGGAAAAAGCAAACAAGACTGTTGATGATACAAAACTAGCTGAGTATACAGACCTAATGGTAAGACTGAATTTGAAAAGACTGTAGCCAGAGCCCATGAAATATTACTGTGTTCTTGCTTATTCCCAAGGCTACACAGGGTAAAATAAATAAACCGTGGTATGGGCGTCACATACATATAGCTTTTGTTTCACTTGAAAATGAAATACTTAAGGATACTTATACGTTGTAAGGCTGAGTGCTGCAGGCAGTGGATTTAAGCTCTGTAGATGAGCATTTCCTTTCTTGTAGAGCAAGGTAATTTTCATTTATCAAAAGATCACTTTGTTTCTCTTACAAAGACAAAATTCTATCACTAAAAATTGTGTAACATATATATGTAAGTTACATTGTAGATATATATATTGTATCACTAAAAACTCATTTATTACAGAGGTTCTGAATCAGGAAATCCTGAGGTTATGACTCAGGAAATCATACATTATTTTAGATTTAAAGAGGACTTCTAGCTATTTTATTCATTGAACAACAAAATATGGTTATTTCCTCCTTCTTTGTTTTGATTCTTATTATTTTGGAATATCGTCTTGGTGCTTTGGGTGAGGAAATCCAAATATACCCTGAGTCTGATGCTACATTAAATAGTTTAACCAAGATATATTGTATAATATTGATAATAGAACCAATAAAAGTGCTTTACACATAAGTACTTAATGTTTTAGGAATGAACAAACTTACAAAGTTCTGATTGAATCCAGTGTCTGTGAAGTTAATTAATTTCAAGAGGGTAAAGTTTTATCATTTTGAGTCCTTATAACATTAGGACTATGAAGAAAAAGGCTCTTGCTAAACTGATTAAAGCATGGGACACTATTTGGGCAACACTTTTTTAATTGTTTAATTTTTGAAATTCAGGGAAAGTTTTAAGTTATCCAGTTTCAATACATATTTTTATACATGCTTTAAATACTATAGGTACTAAAATTCTTACCTCGTGGATTTAAATAAATTATCCATAAAAGTGTGTTATAAAATTGTTGTATTAGATTGACAAAGGAGTTAGACTTTTTAGTTACTCTGAGAAATAATATTATGAAGAGTTTGATTGTACTGATGTAAATGAGATTTTTCAGCCTGTCATTTTGCTTTTATGGGGGAAAACAAAAACACTAGAATTTCATTATTACTTTATTCATTACACAGTGATATTACAAAGTGGAAGTAATCTTTAATTTCAAAACAAGGCAAAAAGCTTTCATTGCAAGAAAGTGTCCTCTTTAATTCCTCACTGTATTTCCAATTACCATAGCACGAGCATACAAATGTGTCACAGTGGGGAGACCTAAGCTCTACATAACATTTGGGAAACAGACAATAACCTACATTTAGCAATCTTCTGTTTTGTGCCAATCTTAAGGGATGTCTATTTAAAGTAAAGACTCCTTTTCAGGTAGAAATCTAAAGCAGCCTTTTTAAAACGACTCAGATGGGAGTTTTCCCCCTGTTGGACTGGCCTGGCATATCTGATTAAATGTCATGAACCAGTTCAAATCTGAGAAGCAAATTAATCAAGAACTAATTAAAATTTAAAGATATATGTGGGGAAATATTTCCCTGTAGGCACTAAATTGTGTGATCAGGTGTCCAGTATCTTGGTAGACTGTGTGACAATATTAGAACTATGGTCAATGGATTATGAAATATGTCAGTATCAGACCCTGAAAAAAATCTGCCTCCTACAAAGGATTTTTAGAACATCTCAAACCATAGAATATCCTTCCTTTTTTTCCCTAAAGAGATTTCCCTAAACTTATATCAACTATGACCCTGATCAGATTCCTTTTTCAAAAATAAAAATAAAGTCATTTTCTCACATATTTTACATATTTTATACATATACAGAAAGTATACATATTTTATATATTTTAATATAGTTCATATATAGTCCTTCTATATGATATGGTATAGCAATAGTTGCTACTTTCTAAAAACATGGATGCTTTCTGAATACAGGTATGAGTTTATATCTGGGTGTTCCTTGGTTTATGATGTGTATGTAAGTGCAGTGTAGGGAGGTAGGGTGCTTAATTTAGTTTCTAGTATCCAAAGGAAGATGAAAAAATTAAAAATTACCGAAGTTCTTTTCTCTAGGGATTATTCATACCACCTGCCTATTGCTTCTGCTTATATTCCTTTATGCTCTAAAAGAGGGAAACAAATTAAATGTTTATTTTCACACCATTCTTTGGAGAGTTTCAAGACATGCTATATACCGCCAGACATGATTGCCCCGACATGTGCCCCCAACACATGTATACACATATTTACTATTCTAGAAGCCTAAGTAAGATCACTATTACTCAGTTTGACTATTCTGTATTGTTCTGGTAGACCTGGGCAATTGACACGTTATAAATTTGAAAATTTGCACTGAAAGTTTAATGCAAGTTTCTAGAATTTTGCTATCTATATAAGTAATTGTTAACTCAAACTGCTTTATCTTTAATTTTCTTCTCCTCCATTCAGTAAATCATTCTTTAATGACTACAATAATGACATTCTGTTTTTCAGCTGAAATTATTTGACTCAAATAATGATGGGAAGCTGGAATTAACTGAGATGGCACGGTGAGTTTAGGAGCTGTGCAAATACTAGTATAAAAAGCCGATCCTTTTTAAAAAAATCTGCTCTATTCATATAATGTTTTTCTCTTAAAAGGTTACTACCAGTGCAGGAGAATTTTCTTCTTAAATTTCAGGTATTTCTCTTTTTCTCTACCACAAATTATATTTTCCTTGAAACATTAGAATATGGCAGATTTGCCAAGGGAAAACAATGAAACAGAGAAATAGCATTTTAACCTTTGCTCTCTTCTCTACCATCTAGGGAGTCAAAATGTGTGGGAAAGAGTTCAATAAAGCTTTTGAGTTATATGATCAGGTAAAAGTCTATTCTTATCTAAAACTTGACTCTTTAGAAGAATTTGGAAAATGCTCACTTAGAGAAAAAACCCTCAAGTGTGTTTAATATAAACCCCAAGGTTCATATTAAAAGAAACATGACGTATTAAAATTACTCAGCCAATTCATTCTTGTCATAGGAAATGTATTATGGTGTGTCCCAAATTAGACACATCTTGATTCAAATTCCATGCTACAATTTAATACTGTGAGGCTTTGAACAAGATACCAAACTCCTCTGAACCTCAACTTCCTCATTTGTAAATAAGAAATAATAATACCCACTTTGCAAGGTGGAATTGGGATTAAGCTAGATGAAAGTATCCCGCAGAATCCCCACACGTAGTAGACTGTAAGTTTGTGTATGCAAGGAAAGGTTATTTCTGATGTCACCAGTTAATATCCTTTATTTCTTCTGATTTTCTACTCCTGGACCAAATCAGTATTCTGTAGGCTCTAATATACCTCTGCCACCACCTGGTGTATTATCAGGCCAGTCTCATAGCTTCCCCAGGCTTCAGTGTCTTTGCTCATATGAACCTATTTGTGACTACTTATTTACTTCAACAGAAGGTGCTATTGTTAACATAAAATGAAATATTAAAAATGAAAGTACTTTGAAAAGTTCAAAATATTTGTTGAATTTGTATCTATTTTGGAACTTCGGCGCAGTTAGAAATTTTGAGGGTCTGACATGAGAGGTTAGACTATCTGCCAAGTATGCAATAGAGAGATCTTCTGAAGATTTCAATTATTTCTGTTTTACATTTCCCATTTTTGTGGATGGAGTTGGTTATATACTGTTTATTTCTCCTCCCTCAGGATGGCAATGGATATATAGATGAAAATGAACTAGATGCTCTACTGAAGGATCTGTGTGAGAAGAATAAACAGGTAACTCAGTTACTGTGCCACTTATTTCTCAAGCAGACTTTTCAGATTCATCCAGAAGTAACCACACATCCATTTTTGGAAATCTACTTAAAAAATTTATAGAGAAGCAGAAGTAGATTTCAATTCTTAACCTCATTTGGTACTGGCCTAAATCAGTGTAACTGTGATAGATTTTTAAAACAACCTGGTGATTAATCCCATTTGTATAAGAATTTAATCCAGCTCTTTTCTTAATGGATTGATGTAATAAACACATCTCATCTCACATTTCATCACTGGACAGTGGTTAACTTCCATATTTAACTAGATTATAATGCCATCTATGTTCTATACAGGATCTGGATATTAATAATATTCCAATATACAAGAAAAGCATAATGGCTTTATCAGATGGAGGAAAGCTGTACCGAACAGACCTTGCTCTTATTCTCTGTGCTGAAGACAACTAGAGTTGGTGACCATGACCACTTACTAGCGATACATTTTATCTAAAAAATAACTGTGCACTATAAGGGAGTAGGCTGTATTTTCTTTTATATCTGTAAATTTAACTGCATATAGATAATTATCCAGGATGTGTGGCACATTCTTTTCAGCTTGTTTCTATACCGTTTGTAATGTACAGTTTTTGTAACTACATGACTGAAAAGGAGAATGTCTATGCTTACGCCAGTCAATACACCCAATTAAAAAAAAACAAAAAAACCTATCTTGCTTTCATAAATATAGTTGGACAAGATTTCCCTAAAAATTCCACTAGGATAAATCTCCAAAATTCTAGTCTCTGATGTGTAAATGCATATTTGTCACTGGATAGGAGAATTATACATAACAAACAAAACATTCTTATTTCAGACAATCATAGGTCTGTCCTACAAAAGAGCTGTAAGTTGTATCTCCAATTATTAGGAGGAATATGCTTTTGCATCTAAAATACTACCAAAATATCAGTCAATAGTTAATCTATGAGGTTAACACTCTCAATAGACAAGATTTAGTTAATTAATCAACAACATACCTACTGCTTGATCCAAACCAAGCTATAAGGTTCAAGCTGATTTGATGACAAGGAAAGGCAGCACCAGATGAAATGTAAGTCTATCTGATTCTATTATCTGTATTCCCAACAAGTCTACTGTCAGAGAGTGTGACCTTAACCAATTTTCTAAGCTGTTGTCACGTTTTGCAGGTTATAATTATTTAGTAAACTGCTGTTTTTATGTCATATTCTGTGTAATCTCTGATAAATTATATATGTCGAGTATCCTGGTGTCTAGTTTGCATACTTCATTCTATGCAGAATTGTTCATAGGATTTTCATTCTATGTAGAACTGTTCATCCATCAAGGGTATCTGCTGCCTCTGAAAATATTTTTTTCTAGCTATAACAACTCTATTTTTTACTACATAATTGAATTTTAATGTAAAAGTCATAGCACCCTGATTGTTGAATGTTCTATCACCAATGATTTTGTGTATTCTGTGAATTCTGTATTTCATATTGAGATCGGCATTCAATATAGTTCTATTTCTATCTGCAAATAGTTCAAAAAAGTTAAAAATAACATCCGAAGAGAAATGCTAATGGAATCATTTATCTTATTTAGCAAGGGAGATTCTATAACATTCTTTTGACCCACATCCAAATCACAATTTCATATATTTGTAGCTAGAATATCTTATACTGGTTATAGTTAACATGTAATGGTTGGTGATTTCTGATTCTCTGATTGTGAAGCATGGAGCTCTGAGAGATACATCTGTGTGAAATTTATAAAGTTGCCACCAAAGAGCTAAATGGTTCTGGTTCAGTTTGAATACCCCCATTCTATAAATGCAGCACTGGATTTCTCAATTCATAGATAACAACGAAGAACGCAAGACATCTCTTTCCCCCAACAATGAACAAAAGAGAGATCTGCCAAAAAAATAGAATTTATCAAATAATGTAAGTGAGTTGGTAGATTGGTTTTGCTTCTAGTGTGTAATGGAAGCACTGACCTTAAGCTGAATTTAACTACTAAGAATAAATAAAGAGAAAAATAACTCTAATCTCTTGTATTTTTGTTTCTGCCTCAAAAAGTCAATTGACATGTAACCTGTGATCGGTCCAGGTGGAAATGTAGGATGTTCAAATTATTATGGTGTAAGAAACCTAAATAAATGTAAATCTTCCTGACTCAGTGAATTACTGAATGCCTCATTGAATTAAGAGGTACCTCTGACATTAAGGTCTACAAAGAAATCTCAAAAAAAATCTAAATATTTGGAGTTTTTTTGCCTGATACAATCAAATATTTCTTCATGGAAAATCTTCTCTGTGAGAAGAGGAGAAATACACAATTTTCCTACATTTCATCTGTAGAAAAAGAGCTTTTCATTTTAAAGTATTCCAAAAGTAAACAAGGTTTGGCACTCTTACAATAATAGCATGGAAAAAGAAAGAAAATAACAAAAAATTTGCTAGGAGTATACCTGAGGGGACTTCCCAGAAATCCAGCACCTATCATGGTGAACTTTAGCTCCTAAGCACTATATGGGGAAAAAAATTCTCATAGCTCAGCTAAATCAATCACACTTAAATGTAAGTGAGAGTCTGGCCTCCTGGAGCAAAGAACAGAGGAAAGAACAGAAAATGAATCTGAAAGAGCAATGTAAGATAGCGTATACAACACCTACCTCATATCACAAACAAAACTCATTCCAAGTATATTCTCAATCTAAACGTGATAGGTATGCAGACAATAACATAAAATATCTTCAATACCAGTGCAAGAAAAGATTCCTTAACGACCAGTTATGAAAAAAAAACAGACTGAAAAACTGGACTCTATTAAAATTAAGAACTCTATTTCCTAAAAGACAATATTAAGAGAGTGAGAAATCAAATGTCAGAGTGTGAGAAGATATTTGTGCTGGCTGGCAACCTCAGGAGGTTCCTGGGTATAATCTGAAACTGGCCCCCTGAACACAGAGAGCAGGCAGAGATGGAGGAGAGGCAGGCCACTCCAGGTTGGTAGGCAGCAGGTTTAACAAACAAGGGGACTTACACATGAGGCTTGTCTTGGTTGGTAGGCAGCACCTAAAAGTAAGTTTTAAGAAAAATAACCCAATAGAAAAATGTGTAAGATAGTTGAACAGGCATTTCACAAATAAAAGGATATCAATACATATCCAAAAACAATAAAAGTAATCAACTTTATTAGTAATCAGGAGAAATGCAAATTATTCCAAACGTGTAACATTACCCACTTAGTAGACACAATTCAATGTAATTTATGTACATAATCAACTGTCAATGTAAGGATTTCCATATGAGCTTACAGCATATAAATTCAAATTGGAAAACTATTCCTTTGCATGATGGATCTATTCAGGGAAGGTGAGATGGAACCTGGTCCCATCTCTTCGTAACTGGGCAATGGGGAGAGTCCAGTGAGCGTATGAGAAGGCAATCCTAAGAAAGCAAAACAGAGTTTTTTTTTAATATAAGCTCAAAATTATAGCTATATGGACTTGAGACTATGGCTTTCTTGTTATTTGATTCTCAGGATGACATATTAGTCAAACCAAATATGAAATGATATTAATTATATAAAAAATATTTTATAAGCTTTGTTCATCTTCTCTACCAAGAGAAATCTATTCTTTTAAAGCTGAAATGGAATGCAATCTCCAAAGTGTCACTTTCTCTACATTCTGGAGACAGAATGAATTACTTCCTTCTCCACACTTTAATACTGCTAGAATAATATTTATCACAATACATTATACATAATTATTTACAGGTCTTTCTGTCCCACTAGATAATGAGTTTCAAGAGGGCACATGCTGTAGATGATTTGTGTTTTATCCCTAGTACTAGAAAAATGTCTGGTTGCAAAATAAGCTTTAGTAAAAATGTGTTTGAAATAATAGTGAGCTATCTAAAGAAGATAATTCACAAGTCCAATGAAAAGGAAACATAATAGAAAGGAAGAGTCCATTAAATCTACTGAAAATCCTCTACTTTCTTTCTTTTAGACCCCATTACCATAGGCTTTGTTTAATATATAACTCAAATGCTACTTGCACTGTTGAGATGCTCCTGATTTTTCCAGGTTACAAATATCTGTTCCTTTCTCTGTAGCTCCAAGCACTTTTTACCTCTAATTTAATTCTTCATTCATTTCCTCCTTTTTTAATTAAAAAAAAATGTTTGGAGGGATGATATCCCAACCTTATATACCTTTGAATATACAGTGTGTATCCACCATTGGCCTGGCACATAATACATATTCAATGAATGTTTGTTAATTAACAACTTATTAGGCTTGAAAATAATCAAAAGATTACAGAAAGTCTGTATCATTTCCAGTGTAACCAAGATGAAGGCCAGAGTGGTCTCAGGAGCCCTTTGTCTTCCTGATGAGTCCTTCTATTGTGTCCCACTGGTCTTTGGGGACCTAAGACAAAAAGGAAAAGGCAATTTAATGTGGTTCTTGATATTCTTAAAGTTTAGTATCCTACCTGCTAAAATTATATTTACAAAATGGCATTACCTTCCTCAGACTGTTGAATTCCCCTGAAATAAGAGCTTCCTCTCCACCATCAAATCTAATGACCTGAAAAAAAAATAATAATCCTTCTTAAAGTTTCTGAACCATTAGCCATTTTCCCATCCTAACTGGATGGAATATCTTCCTGGCTCTTTCAGTCAAAGCCAATTTTAAAGACAAAACTGATGATTAAACCTAAATTGATTTACTCTCTTTAGAATCTTCTTCCCCCCAACTCCACAATTTCAAATTCTACCTAATTTTAAAGAGCATCTTAAAGGCATGTCTATTAGGTTAATCTGCATTTAATAAAATTAATCTATCAATGAATAAATTCCACAGGCTAAACAGTATGTATTAATATTTTGATATTATTTACAGCTAATTAAGTATTGTAAATCACATTTACATTCAAAATTATCAGGACTGGTTCCACAATATGTCTCCCCACCCCAAATCCACCTCACCAAAAAAGTCAAGAGAAGCAATGCTTACTGCTCCGTTAATCCAAGAAGCATAATCGCTACAAAGGAAAGCAGCAAGATTTGCGAGTTCTTCCACAGTTCCTAGCCGACCACAGGGAATTCTGTCAATCATATCTCTCTCAAATGCTCCAGTTGGGTCAAGACGGCTAAAGGCACCCTTAGAAATTGAGAAAATAGTTAAGCTACATTTTTTTAATTCAACCCCCTTTCCTATTTAAGAAACAAATTTGCATAAACTGGAATGTTACTATGGCAGGCTATTCACATTTTCAGCCTTGTAAGCAACAATTTTGCCAAATTCTTCCACATTCATATTAGCTCAAACCAAGTCAATTACCTTATGTTAGCTTTAAAAAAAATCACTAGAAAATGCAACATTTTTACCTTAACAATTTCTTTACCTTTTTTACCTTACAGTTTCTCCACCTGTAAAATTGAGGATACCTATATTAGCTACCTCACAAAATTGTCTTAAGTATCAAATGAAAAAACATATCTGAAAGTATTTGGAATATGTACAAGCTTAGTGGGGTAGAGGTACGTAGTGGTACTATTGTTTGATTTGGTAAACACAGAAAAATGACTCCAGGTGGAAATATTTAATAAAAAATTCCTTCTCCTTTCTTCTCAAAATAGTAGAGAAGGAAGAAAACAACTATGTAGGAATATTAAATTCAAGTAGATCCCAGAGATAGAAAGCCATAACCAAATTTGCCAAACAATTCCTGCTTTCTATTATTGATGTGAAGGAACAAACATGAAGTATGTGCGTGCACTGATTAATAAAAAGTTAGATTTTTCTGTATGAACACCTACAAGTCTGAGTGAGAATTTTCTTTGATAAAACAGGTACAAGACGGAGCAAGCTCTCAGGAGTCCTTGTGAGTCCTCCAGCTCTCTCTGGACAGATATAAAGCAGCAGAGACAAAGGATAACAACTGGCCCCAGTCCTGGCTCTATCAGTACTTGCAAGGGAGTTTCTAGACTTCGATTTTCTTCGAATCCCTTTAAAATTTCACACTGTTGGTTGTATACAACTTATACCTCTACAGCAAGACTATAAGCTCCTTGATGGAAAGCACTCTGTCACAAATGCTTTTGCATCTTTCTTAGCACCTTACCTTTGTACACAATAGGCATTCAATAAATATGTTATATAAATAAATATAATGCAGGTGATCTTCCCTATATATTGAGGTCCAAAAAAGAAGTTACTGTGAGTTCTTTTCAGACAGTGCTTGGCACAGTGCCACCCTGAACCATGCGTTTTAATATATGCTTTTGAGTTATTTTTCCATGAGTTTTATCAGACTCTTTTTTATTGAAATGTCAAAGAAAATATTCAATCAAGTTTTACTCACTCAGCTCATTTTTTCTTTCCATTTTCCACTCTTTAAACTACTAAATAAACAAATCCACCAATTCCAGGTTAAGACTAATAATTCAGACCTACCTATAACCTAAATGCTCCTTAACACTACTTTCAAATATGTGTATATAACTGAAACAAGGTAGTGGTTGGGACTGTAAATTCTTGGGTTACATGAAAACAAAAAGAAGTGAGAATGAAGTCATTCAGGGTAATGTGAGAAACCTGTGGACCTTCTGAGCGACATCTGCAAGAGTGTTAGTGATCATTATGCACTGCAGTGAGTATCTGTGAGGATTATTGATTATAAGGTGGAAGGCCTGCCATCAGAAGGATTTTTAATGAGGGAAGAGGAAGTTAAATGGCATGCATAACTGAGTGTTTGAAAGAGAAAAGGCACAGTCATGAGTCTAAGAAAATCCTCCCTATGGCGAGACCAAGCCTGTATGATATACTTCTAGAACATCTTTTAAACTAAAAATATAGCTAGTTTCCATGGTTTTAAAAAGGTTATGTCAATCAAAAGTCTAGTGAAAATTATGAAACACAGGGCAATAAGAGATCATTGAAGCAAATGAGACAAAATGCCAAAACTGAAGGCACAAAAGATTCCAGAAAATTAAAACATTGAAATGGACCTTATGAAAAAGCTGCATAGAGGACATATTCCTGGCCACCTCCTTATTTCTTACGTTGGATAAGGACAAAACCCTCTCCTTACCACCAGGGCTCCAAACTAAGGCATCTCTGGAAGGTCCTGCACACACACTCAGAATATGTCTATCAGTGTTTCATCCTTACTACTCACAACGTGATAACAAGCAAACTAAAACTTACTTTGGTTTTTATAGGCCCTGGTTGAATCACATTGAATCGCATTCCGTACTTACTCCATTCAGCTGCAAGAGACCTAAAAATTAAATAAACAACAAAGATTCTAAAATATTATACCATATGTTAAAAATACTAATAACCAAGACTTACTGGGTGTTTCCTACATGCAGAGGCCAGAACCCCAACAAGTAGGTACTATTTTATTCCCCATATAACAGACAAGGAAATTGAGACACAAAAAGGTTAAGTCATTTGCTCTGGGTCATTTGGCTAGAGAGTCAACCTCAAATGGCCCAGCTCCAGTCTGTCCCTTAAACATTCTGCTGTACTATCTATCATTACATGCTAGTGTCCTTAATCCCTATGCTATACTACCTACCATTTACATTCTAGAACCAAGTCCAATATCAATACACACTTTGAGAATAAGTATCATAACTGAGCATAAAAAAGTAAGAGAATCATGTCACTCCTCCATATTTTCTGGAGTTAGTTCTGCTTTTACAATGTCCAATATAACTTTACTATGGTACATTGGGTTACAATGTTTCCAACAACACAAGTACATTAATTGAATAAGACATGGATTACACAGATTTAAAATATTAACCACAACCATGTTTAATGAGGTTTTAATATAATTGTTAAACTGCACTCAAAAGGAAGTAGGAATTTAACAAATCTTACTAAATGCCCTGAAGCAATATATAATAATAGGAAACATGGAACCTTAAAGCAACCTGTTTTAAAAGCCTCTTTAAGAAGATAGTTCTAACTTTTATTATCTAAACTTATTTTAAGAATTTACTCATATCTATATTTGTATATATATATATATATTTATACTTAATTTAGTTTCAAAAAATGACAAAATAACTTAAAAGAATACATATAATGCAAATGAGGAAGGTAAAATCATTAAAAAGCAAAGAAGGAAGGCAGAGACACAAGGATAAGGAAATATAAAGGAGTCAAGAATTGAGCTAATACCTAAATGTACTGTGACATTACATATATTTAAATAAGCAGGTCACAAATTTGCAGCTACTCTTTCCATGACACTCTGCAAAAAAGGTAAGCCTAATCAGTTACACAATTTGCAGTACCTATAAGCAAAAAGCAAGCTAACGTCTCAGGTAAAGTTATTTCTGATAAAAAATCAGGAAGACATTTCTTTCAAGAAGGCTTATAAAAGGAAAATTGTACAATATAGTAATGACCTTAAGACACTATAGCCTTGCAATAGATATACAAAGGAATAAGTTTTGTGACACTATAAGATATCCATTAATATGGCCTTAACAGCATCACTTCAAGGGCCAATTCAGTAGAACGTATTCTATGGGATGGTGGCATGTACTCCAAATTCAGTCTGTTAATCTGACTTAAATCTTTGTGGGTGCACTTTAGAGAAATGGGTGGGCTGCATCTCTTTGGGCAAATCATACATAAAAATTGCTTCTCTGAGTGATGCTTTTGACAGAATTCATGACAATAGCTACCTTAGGCTTGTAGTGCACCTACTTCAAATTGGTAGGGAAATAGTAACTTCCCTTAACAGAACTACTGAGCTGAGCAGAGTTTATAGCATCCTGTGAAAAACTGAGCAACCTGTTAAGGAAACCTGACTAGAGGAAAATCTATCCTATCTCTGCTCAGAGGCACCCAGATAAGTTTGTTTCAGTGCTAGTTCTCCTGAAGTTGACTTATATTCTGAATAAATACTATAACATGATAAGGAATCCACCTCATTGGCTCGCTCTGCATGTTAAGATGCCAAGCACAATATAATCAAGATACGTTAACCATTATTGTTGTTCAACCAACAGATGTTCATTGTGTACTGATCAGTGCCAACACTCCCTAAGAAAGGCAGTCCCTGCTCTCAACAGAGGTCAGTTTAGTTGTATAGCGAACCAGTTACTATAGTGGGAATTGTGTAACAGGTACTATGACTACTTACAGGAAGACATGCCTAAGTCTACCAGGAGCAAGAGGGAAGTTTTCCTTGAGGAGGAGATGTTTGAGTTGACACTTGAAGGATGATTAGATGTTTGGTGTGGGAAGCAGGGGGAAAGAAAGAGTGGAGGATAGGAGATAAGAGGGGGTAGGAAGGAGAAAGAAGACAGACTTGGCATATGGGCAATATGAATAAAGGAAAAAGGCAAAAACAACACGCAGTATTTGAAGTCTACAAGGCCTTATCTGATATGAATGTATACCGTAACATATGAGAAGAGGAATGATGGGACCTCAGGCTGGACAAGACGTATGTATTTATTGAGCATCTACTATGTGCGATATACTAGGCAGTAAACACAAAAAAACACAGAATCACAATCCTTAAAGGACATGAAATTGAAACCTCTAACAAGATTCAAAGATCCCAACAAAACAAATACTGATCATTGTAATTGATGCCAAAATAGTCAAGTTCCAGTCCCATAAGTATTTCCAAAACCAACTGACCTTTAAAAAGGTAATTATATCTATTCAGACTAAGATTCAACTTGTGAGTAAAGTTATAAAAAAACACTTTTTATCTCAAAAAGTGTTTATTACTGATTTAAATGTTGACAAATGTTCCAAGAACTCAGAGACAACTGGGAAAAGAGAACAACTACACAGCTCAGCAAGCACAAAGCTGTGTACCAGATCCTGCTGAACATGTGTGTACAGAAATGAGTAAGACAGTCACTTCCCTTATAGAATTTACATTCTAAGGAGGAGGTCAGATAGCTTTAGTGATATGTTAAAAAGCAGTTCATTATGCCCTTCTCTGTGCCCCTACTATATTGATACATGACTTTCACTTTAGAATCTGTAACACTGAATAGGATTTATTTGTGTGTTAGTGTTCTCAGTAATTGGAATAAACGAAGTTTTAAAGGTGCAAAGTACAGAGTGATTGAGTCTGTTCCAGAAAAATGAGAGAAAACATCCCAGAAAAGGTGATACGATGGGGACTTTGGAAGTTGGCAAACTATCACAGCAAATTCCCTCGGCAGCATAGCCCAAGCAGAAATATATGAGAATGCATGCCACATTTAAGGAAATATGCAGCAATTCAATGGGAACTACAGCACTGGAATAATGGCATTAAAATATAAGCTCAGGTGAGGATGAGGACTGTTCTGCCTGTACCACTATCCTAACCCTGGTGCCTAGAACAGTACCAGGCACACAAAAAATATTTATCCAATAAATCAATGAATTAAACAAAGGCCAAGGACAAGCCTATTTAGAATGCCATACTGAGTTTTGGCTTTTACTCTAAAGAGAAATTTTTAAAAATGATCTAAGGTTTTAAGCTAGGGAGTATCATAAGCAGATATAAACCTTAAGAAAGATGATTCTGTTGGGAATGTGAATAAAAAATGAAGTGGGAAGAGAGTGGTAGCATAGAAATATATCAGAGTTATTACAGTAAGCCATGATGAGAAGCTACATTACCACAGAGACAGTGGGAAAGGCCAACTCAAAAAGCAATCATATGCTGCTGAGAAAAGGCCACAAGACCTGGCAAGGGGCCACCACTGGTCTATGTTAGTCCTGTTAGTCTTGAACAGTAGGTACAAGGATGAAGGTGTGTTTAATAGAGATCAGGGATGGTAACTCACAAAGATATGTGGGAGAGCAAAAAATGGTTGGAGTCCTGAAGTACCTAATATGATAGCTACTGGCCACATATGGCTATTCAATTTTGATTTTACAATAATCAAAATTAAATACAATTTAGTTTCCCAGTCACAGTAGCCACAATTCAAGTGTTCACTGGCCACATGTTGCAATTGGGTAGTGCAGATCTATAGACTATTTCCATCACTGCAGAAAGTTCTATTGGATGATGCTAAATAGACACAGAGGACTCAACATGGAGATTGAATATCTGTCTCCAGGTGAACCCAAATTAATCTTTGTTTTATGTTTCCCTGGACAGAGACTAGAAAGCAGGAATCTAGTTCCCTGAGTGACCAGAGGACATCATTTATCATCAGCACCTTAACACTGCAGTACTCACTTGCTCATGGCTTCCACTCCTGCTTTGGCAGAAGCACTTGGTACTACAAAACCTGACCCAGTCTCTGCATAGATGGTTGTAATAGCAAGAAACGCTGCTCCTGAAATTTTTAAAAGATAAAGCAATTAATGTACAGCTAAATAAATTCACACCAAGAAAACATGATTTACAAGAATGGGATCTGATTCAAGAGGGTATAACAAAAACCAAAGCCTTTGTTAGAACTTCAGTAACCCTAAATTAATGAGAGAGAGTAATCTAACAAAATGCTACATCTTGCTAGTAATCTTGTGGTCATTCAGGATGAGCCAGTCAGTATTTACTTGGAAGTCTATACCAGGTGAGTTAATACCAAGACCCAAATCGGAGGCATGGTCCTATAATCCCCTGCATAATCAGATGGACAGAATTTCTGTTAACTAAGAAGTTAAATAAAAATAAACCAGAATCAAAACCAAATTAGCAGGGACTTCTGCCTCCAGCCATGAAAGACTTGCCCTTCTCCCTTCAACCTCAAGGAAACTGTATAAAATACATGATACAGTTATTTTCAGGTACTGTACAGCAGGCAGGAATGGACAGTGATCCCTGAGAGAAGAAAAACAAATGAGCCCTAAGATCACCCCAGACTTTTACCTAAAAATACTATGTATAAGTAATAGTGTTTAATATATACACACTAAATACTATACTGTATGCAAGCACCTACTATGTACTATAGCATATACTATCTACTATATACATATACTACATAGACTGTGGCATAAAGAGGAGTACAAGCAAAACATGGCAATCTGACTGAGTTGAGGAGGGAGAGTTCAGAGTTTGGAGAAACTGGAGAAGTTGGAATTTGTGAGGAAAGTTCCCCAAAGGAGGAAAGTATGCAGAGATAAATCTCCATAAATCTGCAGTGTCTCATTGACTCTATGGCCAAAGACCAAGCTGAACATATTTAGTGTGAGATTCCACGAAACCAGGAAAAGAATAGCTGTAAGATGAACAATTTCCAGAGCTGATATGGGACTGGGAGATTAGTGAGTTCTAAGCAGCTCCACTGAATATCCATGGTTGTCAATGAAGAATTCAGAGGGTTCAGAGCAGGAGGGTTAAATTGGTCCCAAAGTGAAAGCTACTCCAGACTCACCCAAATGAAGCTTAAACATGAGCACTGAAATGATTGAGCTGATCCACAAGTAACTTACCTGCTTGCCAAAATAAAACTCAACACACTTCCAAGGAAAATTTATATATACACACACACACGTGCACATACACACTCACCATTAACATTCACAGTGCACAATAAAAATTATTACACCTAAAAAAGACACACAAACCAGGAGAAAAGTCAGTTAATAGAAGGAGTCTCAAAAATGACAGAAAAAATAGAATTAGCAGACAAAGACCTTTAAAAGGATATTACAATTATGCCAAAAGACTTCAAGGAAAATGAGTATAATGAGAAAATTGAAAAATACAAAAATAGAACCAAATAGCTAAAGCTAAAAAAAATGCAGTATCTGAAGTGAAAAATTTAATGAATGTGCTTAGTTGTAAAAGAAAAGATCCATGCTCTTAAAGACACAGCAATATCAACAATTCATATGAAGGACAGGGGATAAAAGTTGAGAGGGGAACAAAAAGGAACACAGCCCCAGTGAGCTATATAGAATGCTATCTAGCATGCTTACATAATAACTGGTGTCCCAGAAGGATGGTGCAGAAAAATCACTTGAAGAAATAAAGACTGAAAATTTTCCAAATTTGGTAAAAGCTATCTATAATCTATAGATAGATCCAGGCAGTTAAACAAATCCCAAATAGGATAAACACAAAGAAAACCATACCAAGGCATATCATAATCAATCACTTAAAAACAGTGATAAAGAGAAAACCCTAACAGCAACAAGAAGAAAAAGTAGACAATATAAAGGAATGAAGATAAAAATATTCACTGATATCATCTCAGCTGGAGAACAATGGAATGATATCTTTAAGGTGCTGAAAGAAAAAAAAAAACCTGTCAACTCTGATTCTATAGAGTGAAAATATCCTTCAAAACTGAAGGTGATATTTTCCAGCAAACGAAAGCTAAAAGAATTCATTGCCAGAGGACCTGCACTATGAGATATATTGAAGAAAGTTCTTCATGATAAATGAAAATGATATTACATAGAAATTCAGATCTTCAGATGGAATGATGGATGTCATAAATAGTAAATGTGTCAGTAAATATATCACCTCTTTTCTTATTTTCTAAACTTCTTTTGAAAATGATTGACTGTACAAAGCTATACTAACAAGTGACACCAAACACAGAGTAATCAGCAGTGCCTGGGACATAGTAGATTCTCAGTAAATTAACTGAATGAATGAAAGTTTAAAATAATAATCTTTAGCTCCTGAGAAATTAGTAATTTCCTACTTGTTATTTTAGACACAACACTGGATGAAATACTGTAAGTTTAATATTTGCAAAAGAAAACATATTTGTATATTTATAAAACAGAACATACTTTAAAAAACTTAAAGGACTACAAGTTTGAAGAACTACAGTGAAATAATTTGAAGAATGTTCAAATAAGTTTTTTTCTCCTCCATATATTTAGTTTTTCATTCCCTCTGCATTTACCACAGCAGAAACAAAACTCAGCACATCCTGGACAGCTCGGGGGTGGGAGAGGGGGCAGGAGTACCGTTTTGAGGATATGAAAAATTAGAATGGCATGTTAGTCATTATGATAATTCCTTTTATATATCACACTTGGCTTCTCAGATCTCTGAAAGTTACTGCGCTTCCAAAACCACTCTGTGTAAGAGGGATGATACAGGGCATCAGTGTACACCATTACAGTACATTGATAACACATGCTAACTGCATCAGTCTTATAGAAAAATTATAAAAACAACTTTAAAAAATGACAATTACTTAAACAAAGAAAATGCTCTAGTAGAAAGTGCTCTCTTTTCTGATTCAGATTTAGCAGAAGTATTTATCAAGGTGTGGGAGAGGAGTTAATCCATTATTATATAATTCAGATACTGAAAATGAAAGATATTACTCTCCTCTATTTCCTTTAAGGTTTTGTTTTCTCAGCCTAGATGAACTGGAGAAGCTTACTGCTTAGAATGAGATACTGCTGCTTTTAATTCTCCCCAAATATAAAAAGGCAGTAAAAATTTTACACTGCACCGTTCCAATAGGATAAATACTGCCTGGTTATACAATACAGCTGGACTTCAAAGCTAAACAGTGGTGCAAAAAGATCAGAGTAAAGAATTCCCAGATTCCCAGGGTTAGTCACACATGTTTTTCTTTTTGTAAAAGGGCCAATTACTTAAATTAGAATAATTGCCTATGGAAGAGGTTTGGAAATGGCACATTCCTAATATCAGGAGAAAATGTACTTGATTTTTTTTCTGATACCAGGAACAAACAGATATTTGCTTTCACCATTGCTATTTAAAATTGTACTGGAGTCCCCAGCTGGTAAAATGAGGCAAGGAAAAAAAACAGATTGGACAGGAAGATACAAAAATTGTCCTTTTTTTTTCCTCCCACAAACAATATAATCAACAATACAGAAAATACTAAGGACTCTACCAAAAAAAGCTATAAGAACTAGTAAGTGAGTTTAGCAAGCTTACAGAAAAAAAGGTCAATATAGAAAAACAAACCCACTGTATTACTAAATACTAGATCTAAAAGTTAGAAAACAGTATCATTTGAAATAGCACCAGAAGTATAAAGTACTTTGGCAGAAATTTATCAAAACTTGTGTAATACCTACACATTGAAAGCAGCAAAATACTGCTGACAGAAATTAAAGAGGACTTAAACAAATGGAAAGACATACTACATTGATGGATTGAAATACTTGATATTGTTAAAATGTCAACTCTCCCCAGTATAATCTAGATTTAACATAATTCTGGTCAAAATTCCAGCAGATTCTTTTCTAAAAATTGTTGAGTTAATTCTAAAATTATATGAAAATGATGACATAGAATAGTGAAAGCAATTTTCAAAAAGAATAAAGTTAGAGGACTCATATTACCTGATGTCAATTTAATATAAAACTAATCAATATTGTAATATATATAGAATATAATACATGTATATATTTAAAAGCTAGGTAATCAAAATAATGATAGACATGTAGATCAATTGAACAGAATAAAGGACACAGGTATTGACCTATATAGATATCATCAATTGATTTTCAACAAAAGTTATGGGTATTTCAATGAGGAAAGGATGGTAGACATATGCAAAAAAGTAACCTCTATGGTCATTTCATACCCTATGCAAATGTTAACTCTGAATGGATCATGAGCCTAAATGTGAGAGCGGAAACTCTAAAAGTTCCAGAAGAAAATAATGGAGACATTACTTGTGACTTGGGTTAGGCAAAGATCTCTCAGATAGGACTCAAAAAGCAGGAGCCATAGAAGAAAATTTTTGTAAGTTAACATCAAAGTTAAAAACCTTTCCTCTTCATAAGACATTGTTAAGAATATGGAAAGACAAGTCACAGACTGGGAAAAAAAATTCTGCAGACATATATCTGATGAAGGATTAGTATCCAGAATACATAAGAATAATTTTTTCAATGCAAAAACAACACGGTAAAGCCAGTTTGGAGAACAGTTTAGCAGATTCATCAAAATTTAGCTTCTTCTACTTACTAAAAGACACTGCTAAGGAAATGAAAAGAAACCCCATAGACAGGAAGGAAATATTTTATAGACATACTGTATCTGACAAGGGCCCAGTCAAAGGTTATACAAAGAATCTACAAATCAATAATAAATGACAAACGACCCAATAAAAATAGATTAAAAACTTAAATAGTGAGGAAGATGTCAAGAGGGAAGTTTTTGGAGCAGTAGAAATGGCCTATATCTTGGTTGGAATAATGGCTAATTAAGTGCATAAGATTATCAAAACATCAATTTGAAGAATCTGTGACTTTCACTACATATAAATTTCACATCAATTTTAGCAAGCTAAAATCAATACATTAGAGTTATAGTGCACACTGATTTACTCTTTTCTTTATTCCTTTTCAGCTTACAATAATCTTGATTTCACACTGTTTCCATGCTAGTATGTAAAAGGACATTGTAAATTATAAAGTACTAGACTAGTATAAAATAATGCTGTAATGCTGCTTCAATAAAATATTTATTCCATATTTCGTCCAATATAGGAGGTCCTATATTCACCTCCTGTGGATTTCAAGAGGTATCTATTGTTCCTAGTGATCTAGGATTTGATGGAAAAATTTAATATTTATCCTATCCAAGTTGTTTATGATGAGACTCTTAAATAAAATCCCATATTAGTATCTCTTTCAGTCTTTCCTCATTGCAAGTTCTTTCAATTCTTTAATAAAATTAGGTATTCTTTCCCTAAAATAAATTTTTACATTTATACATGATATCCTAGTGATAAATGGACCTCAGCATATTTTTAACATTCTTCCCAGTAAAGACCAGCCTTGTATTTACTGACCTTTTTGGCTATAAGAGCACATTGGGATGTCTTTAGAAGTTTCCTAAACCTTTTATTTGTTCATAATTGTCAATTTTGCATAAATGCTGCTTAGAAGCACATTTAATAATGTCTCCAGCTATTTCTAGCTTCTCTTCCCCAGCTGGGCCAAAGCACTCTTGATCCTCAGTCACTAGTGATCCCCTAAGTGTACATCATCACCAATTCCTGCCCCAGCAAGCGAGCATATGTCTTCCAAGTACTGGTATCCTTATCTTCTCTAGTCTGACTTCCTGGATATCTTTCCTTTGACTGTCTTCTGAGATGCCAGACCACCTAACATACCTCTGATCACAAATTACTATAGAGTACCTTCCCCCTGAACTGAATTCCAGATATACCTACTTTGACATGATTCCGAGATCATTAGCACCTATGTTCCCTGACTGTCACTCCAATACCAGAATAGACCCTGTGCGTTGTACTCTCTCCCAGTGGCACAAGTCCCTAAAACTCCGTCAGGTTATGGCATCAATAACTGACAGGAAGTCTTGGAAGAATAAAAACTGGCTTCCATCTTTAAAAAGGTCTTAGCTAATAAATTTTTAATGAAGCCCATAGAATTTTAATCCAATCTGATGAGTAAAAATGGATCAAAACCTATGTTAAAAGGAGAGACAATAATGAGAAAAGAAGGGAGAGTTAGGCAGAAATCAAGAGTCGAAGAGATGGGCAGGGAAAGAAAGAAAAGAGACAATGAGGCCGAGAAACACAGAAATGATGATACAGACCAACATGAAGAGAGAATCAGAGAACCAAAAGTGAAGAGTTGACAGAGAGAGAGAGAGAGAGAGAAAGAAATAGAGAAATGAGTAAGAAGTATGGAAAGAAAAAATCAGACAGAGGCAGAGGGAAGGACAAGAGATAGACATCCAGGATCCTTGGATGCTTTGAGGAGCACAGAGTGTCTTCCTCCTTGCCCTTGCTCAGAATACTCTCAACCCTGAGAAATACCCACATCCTTCAGGTCCCAACCGCAGCTCATTCAGGGACAGAGTCTGTCCACCTAAGTCATTCGAGCATGCAGCACGGGGCCTGCGACACAAAGGTCATCAGTGTCTGTTAAACAGACAAATGTACCCTGGTTATAGACATATATGTATACACCCGTACATATACTGCACACATATTTATTACTCACATCACATGAACTTTGATAAAGAAGTTGGTTCATAGTACTAAACAAAATACTCACCTTATAATGTCCCTCTAAAGCTATTCTCCTTCCAGTATTCTCAGTCTTGTCAATGTCGTTATCATACAAACTATTTAGCCAGCTACAAACTGTTACCAGTAAAGCCTGCTGACTATATCTGCTACATCTTCTAATTATCCCCAGTGTCACCATCCACAAGCCAAAAGAAGAACCAAACCCTCCTGGATGGTCTCCCTAATCTTTTCCATCCCTATATTTTTGCCAATAACCTTTCCAATCAAGTCACATACTTCATGAGAAATCTGTAAGGAAGTATCTCCCATTTCCTTCAGAATTAACATCAAATTTCCTATTTTGATGCTGGCAACTTCCCAACTACAGCTAACTCACCTCCCAGAATCATTTCCTACCACACTTCTTCCCCATCTCTAACTATATCAATTTTCTCACCCATCCCTAAACCCTGCTTTCCCCTCCACCAGGCCTCTTCCCATGAACATTCCCATTTACTTTCCCTCCCCCTTCTCCATATTTATAGCTTTGAAAATTTAGCTCAAATTGCGTCTTATTCCTCAACCTGATAATCATTCCTAGGGGGGTTAGTCATCCCTCTCTCTGGATTTCTAATGCACATGAAATACATATTTATTACGGCTCATATCATTGCATACAGTAATTATTTAAGTATCTTTCTTTTCCATTAGATTATAAACTGTACAAGTGCAGACATTGTCTTACTGACTTTTGTAAGCATCCCAGAGTTTAGAACAGAACCTGCATGCAGGAGGGACCCAATAAATATGTAAAGAATAAATAAGCATACCTTTCTGTGCTTTAATTAGTTGCTTTCCAATTTCTAGTGTTACAAAAGCAGTTCCATTTAGAACTATGTCAGTTATGGTCCTCCAAGCATTAGGAGAGAGTCTTTCAGTGGGAGAAATAAAATTCCCTGCTGCATTGTTTATCACAATCTAAGAAATGAATAAGACAAGTTACAGAAACTTTTAGATGAGAAAGAACATTTCTCCTCAAGGGCTTTTATCTCTGAAACTTATTAATCCAAATAATACTGTAAAGCTAAAGTTCACAGTCAGCTATGAAATAATACCATGAGATTTGGTTCAGTGTTTCTTTTTTTCAGAATAGGAAAAGCTCCTGTGTTATTTACCAGATTTCAGAATCCTAATCCATCTCAAAATTACAGTGGAATCTATTATTAAGAAGATAAATACAGATTAAACATGTCTACCATGTGACTAGACTATTTCAAAGAATCTCAATTAAAATGCCTTTTAATTTCTAGTGGCGTTTTGGCTTAATTTGCCCAATGAAACTCTTGGTTGATGACCTGTTTCTTCATCATCAATAAAGATTCCACTTAGTTCTATAGCAGATTCACTATTATTGGTCTGTCTGAAAATATCTTTAACACAGAAAAGTGTTCTTTTTGAGACTACTGGAGGAAATCACTTCTTTCCAACATGTGAACTGAACAGCAAAATGTCTATGCATATCTTGGGTATTGAAAAGAGAAATCTGGAGTTTCTTGTAGGTTTCCATATTTGTATTGTTCTCCTCCACTGACACAGATAAACAAAAGTTATTAAGAAAAGCAAGAAGCATGAATCATTTAAACTAGATATTGTGCTCTTGGATAACTGCTCTTTTTATTTCATAATCTTATTAAGTAAAGTGAAATCGAGTTTGTTCTATATGACTATAAATGCATTATTTAAAAATTTCTGAAATGTACCACATCTTCTTTATCCATTCATTTACTGATGGACACTTAGGTTGCTTCCATTTCTTGGCTACTGTAAATAGTGCTGCGATAAACATAGGGGTGCATATGTCTTTTTGAAACTGGGCTCTTGCATTCTTTGGGTAAATTCCTAGGAGTGAAATTCCTGGGTCAAATGGTATTTCTATTTTGAGTTTTTTGAGGAACCTCCAGAGGGTATTATGCTCAGTGAAATAAGCCAGGCAGAAAAAGACAAGTATCAAATGATTTCACTCATCTGTGGAGTATAAGAACAAAGAAATAACTGAAGGAATAAAACAGCAGCAGACTCACAGAACCCAAGAATGGACTAACAGTTACCAAAGGAAAAGGGACTGGGGAGGATGGGTGGGAAGGTAGGGATAAGGGGGAAAAAGGGGCATTACAATTAGCACACATAATGTAGCAGGGTGGGACATGGGAAAGGCAGAATATACAGAGAAGACAAGTAATGATTCTATAGCATCTTACTAAGCTGATAGACAGTGACTATAATGGGGTATGTGGTGGGAACTTGATAATAGGGGGAGTCTAGGAACCATAATGTTGTTCAAGTAACTGTACATTAACGATATAAAAAAAAGTGTAATAAAGGAAAAAAAATAAATGTTATGAAGAACAGGAAGTGAATGTTACAAAGAATAATATAAAGAATATTATATAGAAGCAAACAAACAAACAAAATTTCTGAAATGGTGTAGCAGTCCACCTAATCTGTTCCCTGCTTTAAGCAGAGCTGGCTTATTCCTAAAGACAGAAAATAATAGGTGCTTCTCAACACAGCACTTGCTCACATCTATGTTTTATTTCCTTAATGCATCTTGGTACCCAAAATCAACATCAGACATCTCATACTTTAGCCTTATCACCATTACACTTACATTAGGATGTCCTGCGACTTTGATCAGTTCCAAAACAGTGTTTTGTACCATTTCAGGGTCCCTCACATCACACTGAATTGCATGAACCTGCAAAATAACAAGGAGAAAAAGAATCCTACATTTTTCAGACTTCCTAAACCAAAAACAAGAGTAAATTATTTAAGCATGTTGTAATCCCTAAGTCTAAATTAAATAACTCTTTTAATGTACCTTATTTCCAGTTTGAGAAGAAATTTGTTCTGCAGTAGCTTTCAAAACATCAACCTTTCTAGAAATAAGTACACAGTACTTTGCATGAGTTTGGAAATGACTTCATATTATATTTCTTTTTAATTCCATGAATTAAAAGACAAAGAGAAACTATAGCTTACAGACATGCATTTTTGAGAAAACATTAAAGCTATATTTATAAACAGATCAGTTTGAATTCATTTTCAAAAAGTTAAATTCAAATAAGTTTTATATATCTGATGCTAATTTATTGAATAATTTTAAACCAGTTACTTTATAATGACATAGATTTAAAAATATTTCCTTAATTATAATCATTTATACCTGTTCCCTTGTGTAACCTTGCTTTAGAAAGAAAATAGATACATGGTAATATGTAAGTGTATAATATACTATATAAAATCTATTTTGTGTAAGATGTGTTAGTAGATTTTAGACCAAATGTATGGATATAAATACATTAACATGCATTCAGAATCTCACAATCTTGGAAGAAAAACAAAAATAAACCATTAGAATTACAAAGAAAATAGTATGTTAACAACTTTAAAAACATTACAATGTAAAAACAGAAAAATTCTGACCAATTTGCATTAAAGGAAACATCTGAAATTCCTTTGGCTCTTTGTAAATTTTGTAGCAATGTGTCATTTAGATTACTACTTAGGCTACCTAAAAATGTCATAATATTCAAAACAGGAGGAAGGCATTGACTTTTTGACCAGTCTCCGAAGTTCTAGATTTACAGTTATATGGTCACAGTATGCCTAAATCAGAATATCCTTCCACATGGTCTTACCCTTCCTATATTTCTCACAATAGGTGTTTTGAAATATCTGCCCATGTTATGGAAAATGGAAGGATTATATTCATTATCCTACTTCAAGGCTAACTATCGACTCAAGCAGTAATTATAATCACTCTCATGAAAATGAACAGCCGCAATGTAAGACTTTTGAACTTCATCTCTAGGTATAGAAAAAAATCCTGTAACTGAATTTGGGCAAATATATACATATATAATCAGTTCCATAATTCATCCTTATGGATCTTCCTCAACTTACAATGGGTTTATGTCCTGTCAAACCCACCATAAATTGAAAATACTGTCTGTTAAAAGTGCATTTCAATCCCTTAATTAGAAGGCTTCTTAGGACTGCAGCTCTAAAATGATGCTTGGTTAATAGCCCTCTATCGAGCTGCCCCAAATTCTCATGAAAATACCTCAACTTCTCATGAAAATACCTAAGACAGAGGGGGAGGAGCCAAGATGGCAGTGTGAGTAGAGCAGTGTAAGATCTGTTAATAGATTTTAGACCAAATGTATGGATATACACACATATATATTTGAAAACATATATTTTGAAACCATATATATTTGAAAACCACATACATTTTTTAAAATACAATGAATACAACTATTCCTTAAAGAGACACCAGAAGACACAGGACAACAGCCAGAATACATCCACACCTGCGAGAACCCAGCCCCTTGTGAAGGGGGTAAGATACAAGCTGTGGCCCAGAGGGACCCAAGCGCCCCTTACCCAGCTCCCGGCAGAAGGAGAGGAGTCGGAGCAGGGAGGGAGAGGGAGCCCAGGACTGCTAAATAGCCAGCCCTAGCCATCCGCACCAGAGCACAGACACAGTGCGTGCGTGGGATACTGGAAACTAGGGAAACAGGACAGTAAGACCTGTGAGTGGGTCCCCGCCGCTGGTGCCCCTGGGACAAAGAAAAGCAAGTGCTTTTGGAAAGTCTTAAATGGACAGGGACACCACAGATGGACAGAGCACCCTGGGACACTTAGCCCAGCAGCTGAGAATCCCGGGGAACCCTGGGCACCCTAACACCCTGGACAGCAGAGCAGCTCAGATGCCCCTCACAGAGATAAACAGCCTCCCAACCATTTCCCCTCCGACGAGGGCTCAGCCATATCAGAGCAGCAGCCTAAGGCAGGCCATGCCCACAGAAACCACGGAGATAAACTCCATAGAGGCTGGGCAAGAATCAGAAGCCCCATCTGTGCTCAGCTGCCCAGCACAAGCCACTAGAGGTCGCTGTTCTTCCAGGAGAGGAAGGCCACCAACCAACTAGAAGGGACATTCTCCCAGCTATCACTTGCACCAGCTCCGCAAACAATCTCTATCGCCATGAAAAGGCAAAAGAATTTGATACAGACCAAAATCACAACCCCTGAGAAGGAGATAGACCTAACCAGTCTTCCTGAAAAAGAATTCTAAATAAAAATCATAAACATGCTGATGGAGCTGCAGAGAAATATACAAGAGCTAAGGGATGATGTCTGGAGGAAGATTACAGAAATGAAACAATCTCTGGAAGGATTTATAAGCAGAATGGATAAGATGCAAGAGGCCATTGATGGAATAGAAACCAGAGAACAGGAACGCATAGAAGCTGACGCAGAAAGAGATAAAAGGATCTCCAGGAATGAAACAATATTAAGAGAACTGTGTGACCAATCCAAAAGCAACAATACCTGCATTACAGGGGTACCAGAAGAAGAAGAGAGAGAAAAAGGGATAGAAAGTGTCTTTGAAGAAATAATTGCTGAGAACTTCCCCAAACTGGGGGAGGAAATATTTGCTCAGACTATGGAGATACACAGAACTCCTGAGAAAAAGGACCCAAAGAGGACAACACCAAGACACATAATAATTAAAATGGCAAAGATCAAGGACAGAGTATTAAAGGCAGTCAGAGAGAGAAAAAAGGTCACCTACAAAGGAAAACCCATCAGGCTATCATCAGACTTCTCAACAGAAACCTTACAGGCCAGAAGAGAATGGCATGATATATTTAATGCAATGAAA